TGATGACAGGTACACGGTGATGGACTGGTGACAGGTACACTGTGATGGGCTGCTGACAGGTACACGGTGATGATGGACTGCTGACAGGTACACGGTGATGGGCTGGACTGCTGACAGGTACACGGTGCTGACAGGTACAGGTACACTGTGATGGATGGACTGATGACAGGTACACTGTGATGGGCTGCTGACAGGTACACTGTGATGGACTGATGACAGGTACACTGTGATGGGCTGATGACAGGTACACGGTGATGGGCTGCTGACAGGTACACGGTGATGGGCTGATGACAGGTACACTGTGATGGGCTGCTGACAGGTACACTGTGATGAGCTGATGACAGGTACACTGTGATGGGTTGATGACAGGTACACTGTGATGAGCTGATGACAGGTACACTGTGATGGGCTGATGACAGGTACACTGTGATGAGCTGATGACAGGTACACTGTGATGGGCTGATGACAGGTACACGGTGATGGGCTGCTGACAGGTACACGGTGATGGACTTATGACAGGTACACTGTGATGGGCTGATGACAGGTACACTGTGATGGACTGATGACAGGTACACTGTGATGGGCTGATGACAGGTACACGGTGATGGGCTGCTGACAGGTACACGGTGATGGACTTATGACAGGTACACTGTGATGGGCTGCTGACAGGTACACTGTGATGGACTGATGACAGGTACACTGTGATGGGCTGATGACAGGTACACGGTGATGGGCTGCTGACAGGTACACGTGATGGGCTGATGACAGGTACACTGTGATGGGCTGCTGACAGGTACACTGTGATGAGCTGATGACAGGTACACTGTGATGGGCTGATGACAGGTACACTGTGATGAGCTGATGACAGGTACACTGTGATGGGCTGATGACAGGTACACGGTGATGGGGCTGCTGACAGGTACACGGTGATGGACTTATGACAGGTACACTGTGATGGGCTGATGACAGGTACACGGTGATGGGCTGCTGACAGGTACACGGTGATGGGCAGCTGACAGTACACGGTGATGGGCAGCTGACAGGTACACTGTGATGGACTGATGACAGGTACACGGTGATGGGCTGATGACAGGTACACGGTGATGGACTGATGACAGGTACACGGTGATGGACTGATGACAGGTACACGGTGATGGGCTGGTGATGCGCTGACAGGTACACTGTGATGGGCTGACAGGTACACTCTGATGGGCTGACAGGTACACTGACAGTTACAATCTGATGGGCTGACAGGTACACCGTGATGGGCTGACAGGTACACCGTGATGGGCTGACAGGTACACTGTTATGGGCTGACAGGTAGACTGACAGGTACACTCTGGCAATCTGTAATGTGCTGCACTGTACTGAGCTGTAACTCACAGTTCCCCTTCTTCTCCTCACACAGGATCCGTGTGACAACGAGAAGAAGTGGTGACAACAAGTGACAGCTCATTGTTTATACTTCTGATTGGCTGGGACACAGCCGACAAGAGACCGGCGTGCTGCGCTCCGCCGAGGGGTGCTCTTTGGGGGCATGTCCGGGAGGATGCCAAGTGACAGCTCATTGATTATACTTCTGATCGGCTGTGATAGGACACAGCCGATCGCAGGGTAAACAGCCAATTGTATTGGCTGTTACCCTCATCAGGGAAAGCGCTGTGTCCATGGGACACAGCCGACAAGAGACCGGCGCGATGCGTGCCGCTGGGGGCGCGCTTTGGGGGCGTGTCCGGGAGGACGCCAAATGGCGTCTATCCGGAAAGCTAATGCACTTTTGAAGCCGCCCAACGGGTATTGGCCGGGCGGCTAATGGTTAACCACAAGCCTACAGGGCACTTACACACCCTTCCTGCCCAGGCCAATTTCCAGCTTTCAGCGCTGCCACACTTTGAATGACAATTGCGCGGTCATGCAACACTGTACCCATATGAAATTTTTATCATTTTTTGAGACACATAGTGCTTTATTTTGGTGGTATTTAATCACCTCTGGGTTTTTTATTTTTTCTTAAACAAACCAAAAATCACAGAAAATTTTGTAAAAAAAAAATTTTTTTTCTTAGTTTTTGATATAAAATTTTGTAAATAAGTGATTTTTCTCCTTCACTGATGTGCGCTAATGAGGCTGCAGTGATGGGCACTGATAGGCTGCACTGATGGACAATGATAGGTGGCACTGATGGGCACTGATGAGGAGGCACTGGTAGGTGGCACTGATGGGCATTGACAGGCATCACTGATGGGCACTGAAAGGCAGCACTGATATATGGCACTGATAGGCAGTACTGATAGGCGCCACTGACTGGCACTGTTGGGCGGCACTGACTGGCACAAATAGGCGGCACTGACTGGCACAAATAGGCGGCACTGACTGGCACTAATAGGCGGCACTGATGGGCACTGATAGGTGGCACTGGCTGGCACTGATAGGTGACACTGATTGGCAGCACTGATAGGTGGCACTGATTGGCATTGATAGGTGACACTGATGGGTGACACTGAAAGGCAGCTCAGATGGGCACTGATATGTGGCATTGATTTGCACTGGTAGGCACTGATATGTGGCACTGATGGGCACTGGCACGTGGCACTGATGAGCACTGACAGCTGGCACTGATGGACACTGACAGGTGGCACTGCTGGGGCTACACTTATCATCAGGGCGCACTGATCATCAGTGCTCTGATGATCAGTGTAGATGTCCCCTCCGCGGAATGCTGATTAACGGCTCTCCTCTCGAGCTGTCAGCGTGACAGCTCGTGAGGAGAGAAATGCCGATAACCGGCATTTCCCCTGTTTACATGTGATCAGCTGTGATTGGACACAGCTGATCACATGACATCTTTGGCTCTTTCCGTGGATCGATGATCCGCTGTGTCCGAGGGACACAGCGCACTGCCGATCGTCGCGATGCGCGCTCACTGAGCCGCGCATGCGTGGTGAGAATGGGAGGACGTCATATGACGTCCTCTCAGAACGAGAGAACCACCTTGTGCCCGTCATTGGACTATATGGTGGGCGGGAGGTGGTTAAAGCTGGCCATAGATGGATTGAAATTCGTCAAAACCAGGTGGCCGCTGCCCCCCTCAGCCCCAGAAGGTGCTAAATGTGGCAGCGGAGGGGAGGAGGCAGATAAGCGGAGCTTCCACTTTTGGGTGAAACTCAGCTTTAAGGTTCCGTTGACACCTATGCTTTTTGTCCATTTTGCAGTGCTTTTCACAGTTCATTTTGAGTTTTTTCTACATGTGTCTTTGACGCTTTTTTATGTGTTTTGACACATTTTTACTGCGTTTTGTTCAACTCCTTTTTTTTGTGTTAAAGTGGAATTTGTTTTGCTGCTGGCAGAATAAAAAATGCAAAACCATGCACTACCATGCACTTCAGCAGCTTCTCTATTGAACTTTATTGTAGCAAAAACGCTGCTTTTTTTTTGCTTTTAAAAAAGTCCCTGATCCTTTCCAAAAATGCAGCAGCTCAAAGAAGCATAGATGTGAACATGTTCTATAGGAAACCATGTTATATGGACTGTAGTGCGTTTCTGTAAAAAGCAATAAAAACGCATTGGTGTGACCGGAGTCTTAGAAACTTGCTGGCATCAACTATTGTTTGCTGTAATTAGGTTTAGGTGATACGCTCTCATTTTGTTTAACCACTTGAGCTCCTGAGGATTTACCTCCCTTAATGACCAGGCCTCTTTTTGCTACTCTCGGCGCTGCACTAATTCAACTGATAATTGCGCGGTCATGCAATGCTTTCACACAAATAGAGCTTTCTTTCGGTGGTATTTGATCACCTGTGCGCTTTTTATTTTTCACGCTATAAAAACAAAAAAAAGCCGAAAATTTTGAAGAAAAAAAATATTTTTTACTTTCAGCTATAAAAAATATATAGTAAACTCAAAGTTGGTTTTAAATTTAGGCCAGAATGTATTCTGCTACATGTTTTTGGTAAAAAAATCCCAATAAGTGTATATTGATTGCTTTGTGTGAAAGTTATAGCGTCTACAAACTATGGTATAGATACTGCAATTTACAACATTTTTTTGCTATACAGCGCTGCGCTAGTTTAACGGACAATTGCACAGTCACGCAATACGGTACATAAATGAAATTTGCATCTTTTTTTTCCCACAAATAGAGCTTTCTTTCGGTGGTATTTGATCGCCTGTGCGGTTTTTATTTTTTGCGCTATAAAAAAAAGGCTGACAATTTGGAGGAAAAAAAAAAACTATATTTTGGACTTTTTGCTATAAAACATGTCCAGTAAAAAAAAAAATTAAAAATCAAATTTAGTCATAAATTTCTGCCAAAATGCATTCTGCGACATGTCTTTGCTAAAAAAAAAAACCAATATGTGTAAATTAATTGCTTTACGTGAAAGTTATAGTGTTTACAAATGGTGGGAAAGATACTGGGATTTTTAGTTTTTTTTATACTAATAATGGCGGCAATCAGCGACTTATGGCGGCGATCAGCGACTTATGGCGGGACTGCGGCGGACATTCTGACATTGGGGGGTACTGACTTGGGGTCACTGACATCCCCAGTGACACCATTACAGTGATCAGTGCAAAAAAAAAACCACTGACACTGTACTAATGGCACTGGGGAGGAAGGGGTTAAGTTTATTTTTCACGGAAAGGGTTAACTGTGTATGGGGAGTGTTTTACTAGGGGGCGGGGTTGTGTACTGCAGGGAACACCGCTGATCAGGAGACAGAGAAACTCTTCTGTCCCGATCAGTGTGTCCTGGAGCTGTCAGGGAACTGACAGAAAGCACAGCTACTGCAGCTGTGTTCTCTGTCAGTGATTGCCGCCGATCGCCGGGACATAGCCGGTAACGACCGGCTGTGACCCGGCGACTGACATCCGCGGCTGTGATCGGCGGGACAGATAGGGCGGCAGCGCGCCTAGCACCTGTTTACAAAGCGCATGTTTTAAAACGTGCTTTTGTCCAGCCTTGCCGCCCTGCCGCCGTATTTATACAGTGGCTGGGTGGCATGTGGTTAATCACCTCCAGAGTCCAGACTGCTAGGTGCTGGGAAGGAATCTATTATTTAATTATTTGTACATCTGATGTCATTTTCTCCTGAGACTTGTAATGTGGGCCATACCTGTCTAGGGGGAAGATTTTTGTGTATAAATACTGTGCTGTTTGTTAATAAAATCCATTCATGTTTTACTCCAACATTGGTTCCATCCGATGCTTGGGGTACATTTGCTATATTCTGGTGTCAGAGTGGAGGAAGCTTTAGTTTAGCAGAGATTCCCATTCAGGGTGTCAGGCAGTCCGTCACACTATGATTTTAATCTCGGAAGTTTTCCTTTGGAAAAGACAGAATTTTTACTTTAAAATGCAAAAGGATAATACTAAAAAGAATAATTTGTTAGATTTTTTGGCTCCAGAGTTCACCCATACATTTCAGTCACATGCACACACACAGCTTCTCCACCTTTAACATTTTCCCTGCAACCTTTATACATAGTGAGATGTAATCACTCTATACATGCTCTGAAGCTTGTCAATCATTTACTGGATAAAGAATGGTTTGTAGTGCAGAAACATATCAGTATGCTAAATTAACAGTATTACCTTACAGTATAGCCCACAAAAGAATCTCCCCCTCCTACTTTATAGAGGCAGTATATAGGGTTTAGACAATTAGGTATAAAGAGGGGAAAACACTAACAACGGAAATGCAAAAATGGAATAAGAGTGCTTAAAGTGAACCAAATGAAAAGTGATTGTATACCATTTTTTCTTTTAAATAACAATAACAAAAAATAACAAACATATACTTACTTGCTCTGTGCAATGCTTTTGCACAGAGCAACCCTGATCCTCTGCTTCTCAGGCCCCCCACCAGTGCTGTCCACTCCTCCCCTCTGCTGTGTCCCTATAGCTGCTGCTTGCTATGAGGGCACATGTGCAGGCTCACTCCCGAGCTGGCTCTGTGTGTCCATTGACACACAAAGAGTGGCTCGAACTTGCCCCCGCTCCCTCCTCAGTGGCTGTGATCATCAGCAATGGGGACCAATGGCTCCTGCTGCTGCCCCTGAGCCCATAAGGAGGGAAAGAGCTGCTGCTCTTGTGCACATTGCTGGATCGAGATTAGGCTCAGATAGGTATAAGGAGGCGTTGGGGGGGTGATCATTGAAAGTTTTGTACCTTAATGCAGAGAATGCATTAAGGTAGGAACCTTCAGCCTTTACAATCACTTTAAGATCAGTTCATCCCCTACTATAGCTTGCAATTGCTGATGACTTCAAAATGGAGAGTGTGATTTTTCAATTATTTTGTTTAGATATGCATGTAAAATAGAAAAGCTTGATCTTAATATTGTTGTCAATGTATGTTAATGTTCTAAAAAAGTGTTTGTTTTTATTTATATAGGTTATATTGCGCATTATTTAGGTTGGCTGGTGTAAAAAAATTGCCTGGCATCATGTCTGTGGAGTAATAATACCTTGACATCAGTGATCTGTAGAGGAGAAAAAGAGAAAAAAAGTGCACTGCTCAAAAATTAAAAGAATACTTTTTAATCAGAGTATAGCATCAAGTCAATTAAACTCCTGGAACATTGATCTGGTCAGTTAAGTAGCAGAGGGGGTTTTTAATCAGTTTCAGCTGCTTTGGAAATTAACAACAGGTGCACTAGATGGGCAACAATGTGATGACCCCCAAAACAGGAATGGTTTTACATTATTTTTCCCTACTCAGCTTTTCTGACTGTTTTTCACTAGTTTTGCAGTTGGCTAGGGTCAGGGTCACTGCTGCTAGCATGAGGCAATACCTGGACCCTACAGAGGTTGCACAGGCAGTCCAACTCCTCCAGGATGGCACATCAATACGTGCCATTGCCAGAATATTTGCTGTGCCTCCCAGCACAGTCCCAAGAGCATGGAGGAGATTGCAGGGAAACAGGCAATCACTCTAGGAGAGCTGTACTGGGCTGTAGAAGGTCCTTAATCCATCAGCAGGACCAGTATCTTCTCCTTTGAGCAAGGAGGAACAGGATGAGCACTGCCAGAGCCCTACAAAATGACCTCCAGCAGGCCACTGGTGTGAATGTCTCTGACCAAACAATCAGAAACTGACTGCATGATGGTGGCCTGAGGGCTCGACATCCTCTAGTGGGCCCTGTGCTTACTGCCCAGCACCATAGAGCTCAACTGGCATTTGCCATTGAACACCAGAATTGGCAGTTCTGCCACTGGTGAGAGCAGGTGAGAGCAGGTTCACCCTGAGCACATGTGACAGACGTGAAAGGGTCTGGAGAAGCCGTTGAGAACATTATGCTGCCTGGAACATCGTTCAACATGAGCGTTTTGGTGGTGGGTCAGTGATGATCTGGGGAGGCATATCCATGGAGGGACACACAGACCTCTACAGGCTAGAAAATGGCACCCTGTCTGCCATTAGGTATCAGAATGAAATCCTTGGACCCATTATCAGACCCTACGCTGGTGCAGTGGATCCTGGGTTCCTCTTGTGCACGACAATGCCCGGCCGCATGTGGAGAGAGTATGCAGGCAGTTCCTGGAGGATGAAGGAATTAATACCATTGAATAGCCCCCATGCTCGCCTGACCTAGATCCAATAGAACACCTCTGGGATATCATGTTTCGGTCCATCCGACGACGCCACGTTGCACCTCAGACTGTCCAAGAGCTCAGTGATGCCCTGGTCCAGATCTGGGAGGAAATACCTCAGGACACCATCTGTCATCTCATTAGGAGCATGCCCCGATATTGTCAGGCATGCATACAAGCATGTGGGGGCCATGCAAACTACTGAGTACCATTTTGAGTTGCTGCAATGAAATTTCAGCAGAATGGACAAGCCTACTGCATCATTTTTTCACTTTGATTTTTGGGGTGTCTTTGAATTCAGTCCTCTGTAGGTTGATCGTTTTCATTTCCATCAAACTATGGGGCATCCTTATGTTCTAAAACACATTACCCAGTCCATATCAGCATAGATATCCAGCATGATATTTTTCCCCATTGAGATCTGATGTTTGGTGTTTTCAATGTGTTGCTTTAATTTTTTTGAGCAGTGAATTTTTGTCAGTGGGGTAAATGAACCAGAAACAAATAATTGGTGTCAGAGGGATGAAAAAAAAACGCATTAGTATCAGTGGGGTGAAAAGGAAAGGTGTGGGGGAAGGATACATTGGACGTTAATGTGAGTGGGATGAATTTGCTGGTCAGTGTGGGTGTAAGGGGGTTTTAAGAGCTGCTGATTTGCAGTGCGTTCAACGAGTGTCCCATGCTGCTGCTCTTATTCCAGGAAGTATGCAATTACTGCAATGATAAGAAATCACTCTGCCAGTCAGTTTACGCAAAGAGTTGGATATGGTTGTTGAATGAGTGTTGTAATGCTCCCTTCTGGGAGCCCAGGTATCTTTCTTTGCATTTTATTTCCGGTTATTGTAAACCGTAAATGCATAAAATTTAGTTTGCTAAAATACTGTTTATTATAAATAATTGTAATTTTTTAAAAATAAAAATATTGTATTACTTTTAAATATCTGCTGTTGCATCTCAGTAATGTTGATCTTCTGCCTATTTGCAGCTACTTTGGGTCTACATGCAAGCACTCTAGCAATGGCTGCATGGCATTTCTCAGCATGCACGTTAAAGCAGAGTCCCCCCCCCCAAAAAAAAAAAAAATACTGTACCTGCGGACTTTTAATATTAGGGCACTTACCTGTCCAGGGATCCAGCAGCGCCCCCCTCCCCCCGAGCCGATTCTTCCATCGGCTGTCAGGTGCTGGTACCGCCATCTTGTCTAAAGGAAACCGGCAGTGAAGCCTTGCGGTCAGGGGGGGACTTCCATCTCAAAACCAGGTACCGGCTCCCCCCCCCCCCCCCAAAAGGTGCCACATGGCAGTGGAGGGGGGAGGCAGAAAAGCAACACTTTTCGGTGGAACTCTGCTTTAAGTTACTTTAAGTTAACAACAATGATACTCAGATTGGATAAAGAAAAAAGCAGTTGTTACTTTTAAATATTAACCATTTTCGCGTCGCCCACCTGCAATGTACTGAGGACAGGCGGGAGCTACAGGACCAGTGACGCACCCGTACATCACTGGTCTTTTGCCAACACGGGGTCGCTGCACGCTCAAGCAGGTACTCAACCCTACATTCCCACATGGGACACAGAAGAATGAGCATTCCAGTAATTGGGACCCAATGATCACGTGATCGATGTGCAATCACAGGATCACAATGACAACAAAGCTTTTATGAATCAATCTGATTCATAAAAGCTTTGCTTCTGTTCCTGGGGAGCCGTGATTGGACCACAGCTCTCACATGACACATGGTGCCAATTACAGCAGCCTGTATCGTGTGACCAGCTGGAGCCAATCACAGAATACTTATATTGAACTGTCCTGAACTTAACACATTCATGACAGTTCAAAGCAAGCTTTGCATTGCAGAGCATTATTATTCACTGCTCACGCAGTGCAAAGTGTAAAACAAAAAAATCCCTGATCCCCCCCCAAAGGAGTACAATGTTACTATGGTAACATTGCAGAACTCTGATGAAAGTATTTTTCTTTAAAATTGTACAAAAAAAGAAAAATAATGTTTAAAAAAAAGTTTAAAAACAATTGAGTGAAATTTTTTTTTTAAACTACTTGCCGCTGCCTGCCAACAATGTGCGGGCGAGCTGCGGCTCTGGGCAAAGTGATGTAATCTTACATTGCTTTCTATTTCCAGGTGTGCGTGCGCATTTATACACCCCCTTGCTGCCCCCTGTGCCACCCAGGAAGAGAAGAAAGAACACGGCACTGAGTAAAAGCCCTACATTTTACACACACACGTTAGATTAGCACAATTAACTCTTTGATTGGCCCTATTAACCATTTGATCATCCCGCCACCCAGCCAATGCCATTAGTACAGTTTCAGTATATAGAATGTTTCACTGATCACTGTATTCCTGCCACTAGCAACAACAGATAGCGGCAGACTCAGCGCCCCTCCCAGCCAGGGTCAGCTAGCATTAGAGTGCCTGCACACTATTGCACTCATGCCATGCGTCACTGATCACCTCCATTACTAGTATTGTGTTTGTACAGATCAATATATTGATCATAAACATAACTATACTAGTGCCTCCTTTGTATAGTGTCCCCAAAAACGCAGTGTTAGCAGGATTTGCCCTGTTCGCTGCCAACACTAGCGTTGAGCCCCTCTGCTGTTTTTCATGGAAGATTTGTAATTGAGTGTGGGCCAAAGCAATTCATACGCACAACAATACATCTCCACCCACCCCAATTCAGACAATTCGCATGGAAACCTATCACAGTTTCGGAATTTAAAACTTTTTTGGGCCTAACCTTCAACATAGGCATTACAAAAAAGAATGAATTGCGGTAATATTGGTTCACAGACTTGATTCATCGTATGCCCATGTTCTCTGCTGTTACAAATATGCCCAACAAGGACGAGCAACGTACTGGACTTTGAGTGGTTATACCAGGATGATGCCTACAGCCACAGGCATCACCCTGGTATAGTTTTTTTCAGCTGGCGGTCAGCTTTCATGTAAATCAGTCCTAGCTCCTAATTTACCACTAGATCGCTTGTACAAGCAGCGGGAAGGGACTCCCCTGCCCCTTCTGCTGCCTTCCAAAGTTTTTTCGGGCTCTCCCCATTCAATAAAAGTGATCAGAAAAAAAAAATGAAAGGGACAGTGTAAAAATAGTAAAAAAAAAAGCAAAATTAAAAATTAAAAAAAAAAAAATTCACCCCACCCCCAACCCATCCCCGTGCTTGTACACAGAGGTAAACGGAAACGGCAGTCCCATGGCGGTGTGTAAACAGAGATTGCACCATACATTTGAGATGTCACTGTGAACGTCAGATCGAGGGCAGTAATTCTAACACTCGACCTCCTATGTAAATCTAAAGTGGTAAAGGCTTCTACAGTGTTGCCTATGGATATTACAAATTTACATAATTTGTCGCCTTTGCATGAGTGTGCACAATTTTAAAACATGTCTTGTTTGGTATCCATTTATTCAGCTTAACATCATATTTTATACTTCATCAAACAATTAGGCAATATATTGTGTTTTTGTGCATTAAAATTCTGAAAAGTGTATTTTTTCCAAAAATATTGTGTTTGAAAAGTCGTTGCGCAACTACCGTGTGACATAAAAAACATCAACACCCGCTGTTTTATTCTCTAGGGCCTTTGCTTTAAAAAATATAATGTTTGTGCGTTCAAAGTAATTTTCTAGCAAAAAAAACTGTTTTTTAAAGTAAACGAAAAAAAGTGTCAGAAAAGGCTTGGTCTTCAAGTGGTTAGTAGGGTGGGTGATATGTGGCATAAGCTTCTAATGTTGGCCCTGAAATGCCTAGATAGTAGCAGCACCCCCCTCCCCCCAAATGACCCCTTTTTGCCCCTTTTTGGAAAATAGACACTCTAAGGTATTTGCTAAAGGCTTTCGTGAGTATTTTGCAGATTTCATTTGTTGACACAAGTTTTTGGAAAATGAAAAAAGAAAACGAAAATGTATTTTTTCTTTTCTTTTATTCTTTTACAAAACCCTGTGACAAAAAAAAGATATCTGCAAAATACTTACCATGTCTCTTAGAAAATTCCATGGAGTGCAACATTGCATGACCACACAATTACCAGTTGAAATAGCGCAGTGCCGAATAGCTAAAATAGCGCAGACCTGGTCATTAAGGGGGTAAATCTTCCGGAGGGCAAGTGGTTAAGCAACTATTTTTTAGATCCCCTTAGTTCACTTATACAGTCATAAATGTACAGCATGTTGGAGGAGAAATGGTTTTCAAAGTATTAAACCACTGTGTGTAAGTATGTAATTTTTCCTTGCAGGAGAGAATAGCAAAAGCCCATGGATCTCAGTGTGGGTTCTGCACCCCTGGAATGGTGATGTCCATGTACAGCTTACTAAGAAACCACCCTGAACCCACCATGGAGCTGATTCATGAAGCCCTGGGAGGTATGAGGACTGTCAGTTTTTTACCGCTTAAAGATAATAAAAAAATTAAACAATACCATAACAAGGACTGCAGAAGCTGTTGTACAGTAAAGGTGTACTAATGCAGACATGTGGCCACCAGCAAACATCTAATCTTGCATTCACCTTGGTGTCTACCATCCCTTGTACTTTATAATAAACACACCAGAGTGATGAGTATCCTCTTTAACCCGTAGAAAGCGCAAGAGACAAGGACATGGCTAAGCCAGTGACAATGGAAGCAGGCCACTGTTTCCAGGATACAGCAATACAGGTTTCTGGCCTATGGGAGCTGCCTATTATCAGAACATTTGCCAAATTTCCATGCTGACCAGTTTTTGCTGTTGGAAAAAATAAGTCTGTGTAGTGAAAGTTTTTATTCCCATTCTTTCCATGTTGTTCAGGTATTCTTTTCTACTTCAATTAGGTTGATAAAATGTGGATTCTGCTCTTAAACAATTCCTAAAGTAAAAAAAATATAATTTATTGTTATGTTATCTTAGTTATAAACTGTCTTATTTTGATATTTGTAAATTTGAGTCCTGGGACCTGTCCTTGTGCCAAAAAACGTCTCCTCAATATCTGAAATTATGATGCTAGATATTGAAGAACAGAGGAAACATAACCTTTTATACACATGAACAAAACATTTCTAAAAAAACAAAATTGCGTTTGATGTATGTTTTTTTTATTTAATAATTTTACAGTTGTTATTACATGGTGATCACATCGCTTTATTGATAAACTAAGCCATATCCGTGACATGGCTTAGTTTATCAACATAGCCAATGGGCAAGCCAAAGGATCTGTAGATAGCCATTCAACTAGCATTTCCAAGTTGTCAGTTAAGCTGCAGACATTACTAACTGGTGTATCATTCAGGTAACTGTCACGTAAGGCATAAGGGCATCTGTAGGTCTTACTGAAAATAATTTTACTTGAATACATAACTAAATACCAGCATAAAAACTGGCTTGACTTTATTTCACAAGACTCCTTCCCTTTTTCTAGGTAACCTGTGTCGCTGTACTGGATACAGGCCAATCATGGATGGCTGCCTGACCTTCTGCAATGTAAGCAATGTGGAAAGAATCAATTCCTCGAAATGTGCTTCTCATTATTCAGAAACATATTGGGATTGAAAATAATGACGTAGCTCCAGAATTTAATAATACCAAATATAACTTTAGTTACCCCCCTTTTCTATGTCCTACAATTAGGCATTTGTTTCAATATATAAGAAACATTTTTTGGGGGAGATGGAAGAAAATGTATGGAAAGCATAGAGAGCCATCGTGTCTGTGCAGGGTGAAGTGCGAGTGTCTTTACAAAGGTCATCTCCCAACTCCTATATAATAACCATACCTGCCCTCCCTCGCAGCCCTTTGCTGCTGTGCAGCCAGAGAGAATATCCAACACTTTCTTATAATACTATTATTATAATACAGAACTTATACAGCGAAACAGTTTGCATATTGTTTTACAATATATAGGGAGACAGTACAGTTACTATGCAACTCAAGACAAGGGGTTTAGTCTGAGGGCACGATTTTTCAAAGACCTTGTCAGTTTGTGCTGTATGGGTACATCCATATGGTATATTTTCACCAGTAATAAAATGTCCTCCGGTGACTGAGTAGTATGGTGTCCCCAGTCATTTTAATAAATAGCCAGTGATTTGGATATTGGAAGAAATGCAGCCAATATACTGTACAGTAGCTTTAATGTGCAGTGGTAAGAAATAATGTTTGTGGATAACATTAGAGAAATGTTATGTGGCGCTACTCCCGTAGGCTCAGTAGCAATACTGTCCTGGTCTTCCTCAAATACTTTGCCCCACAGCCAGGCATATAGAAAAAAAGGGGGGTGTAACGAGCGCTGGATAATTAGAGCAAAGTATAAAAGCAGCTGGCATGAAAGGCAAGCCTCCAAAAAGCCTCGTGGTAAACAGTCACAAACAGAAAACATGCAGCGCTAGGCTATATAGGTCTATCTCATGATAAAATATGACCATCTAAACAGGTATAAACGCAGATAGCATAATGGTCTTAGGCAACCAATGCTATCACATTATCATCGTTAGGAAGGTGTAAATAGTGATATAGGTGTCAAAGTCAATATATCATAGGAGTGACGTAAATAAATCTGTGACATCTGTGGTAGGAAGTGTGGCTGTAGAATGCACTAACCAGATAGCGCAGATAGTAGCGCCTTGGAGTAAAATGACCTACTCCTGGTCAATGGATCAGGGAACCTGCCGGAGTGGTGGTCGTCTCTGCTGTGGTCACCAGAATCATCTGCGTCCTCTCCAATTATGGAATTCCCAGGTGTCCAGTGGGATAAACGCTCATCCGGTATATGGTGGAATCCTTATGTCAGCGACCTCCAGGGGTGCGGTGTGCGCTCAAGGACCAGGAATCACCTTCAGGGCTCAGAAATAAACCCAAAAGAGAGGCTTCCGATAGTGTGATATCTTTTATTGAGGAGTAAATAAACAAATAAAGCACTTACATGGTGCAATACACAATTCCAAAGATGGCCGCCCGTGTCAAGGCATATAGGCTTATTCACACATTTCTCCAATAACCAGTCTAGGTGTGTTGTTTTGATTTGTTTTGGAGAAATTGGATAGGGAGGGAAAATAAAGTGGGATACCCCAGAAATAAGAACTATGTACAGTTGAGAACAAAGCTCTTCAGAACACCCTTTTAGCCTAAACTTACAGCTGACCTTCTAGCACCGGAGGGGGTTAAGTAGGATCTCTAAGATCCTTTAGGGTTGTCTGTACTCACAAGGCCCAAGAGCAGATGGACACCTTCCTCTGTGATGCCAGACCAGATCATAAGTAGACGGCCCCTCAGTAAGCTTTAGTAAAACCTGGGTCTGAGCATTCAGGTTCTCAGGTTGCCCACCTGAGGCCGCATGGCAGTAGTTGCCTGGGAGGGCAACGTGTGCTCTCCCAGGCTGGAATAATCCTATACAGGAAAGACCCAGAGCCCAGTGTGGTAACGGACTTCATGGGCACGTACACAACTCCATATAGTAATAATAAAAAAAAATATAATAACAATTGTAACAGTTGATGCATAATAAAAGTTCAGATAGTCAATTTGTGGAATATATTGTGATACCCTCAAATGATACATAGAGGCACCCAATAAACCGTAGAGAAAAATTATATTTTATTTTCATGTTTTAATTTCTTTTTTTTTTTCTTTTTTTAGAAAAAAGATTGCTGTCAGCTGAAGAAAAATCAGAATTCTTGTGTGAATGGAAATATAAATGATGCTAATGAAGTAAATGGTCAGGAAGAAACTAATAACTCTGTTCCTTCAGCTTCCAGCGATGTAAGACAATTCATTGTTTTTTCTTATCCATAGAAAAACACATCATTTATTGGGTTTTTATTGTTTGTTCACCAAGCTGCAGGCATATATTGTGTCTATATAAAATGCTCTGAAATGAATGATATCAAAGTATTGACAGCCTAGTCTGTACAGGATTTGACAGTGCGTTCCTTTCTGTATATGATACAGTAGTGCTACTCTTCATCCACTTCCCCTGAAAAAAGGTTATAAAAGATAATAGTGGGGTCATATGATAGTGACCCCTGAACCTATTTAGCCTCTCTGATATTTAACAGTTTGTGCAGAAGCATATTTTCACGGAAAGCATAGTGGTTATGACTCCCAATCTTTGTCTGAGATGCAGGCATTTGCCATCTGGTGGCTTCAGCCCAAAACATCATTGTAGATATTTCTGGAAGGAAACTCCTTAGATAAGAAGAAAATGTAAAGCTGTTTTGTCACAATGCAGAGAAAACAATTAGTACTTGTGATGCCCAACAGTCCAGGAAGTGTCAAATATTGATTCTTTGGCAAGCATAGTTCTGGAAGAGAGTGAAGATAGTAGGCATGGGCAGAGAGAAAGGTAGATTATAAATTGTTTTAATTACAGAGAGGACTTTCTTTTAGTTTTTTTTTTTTTTTTAATAGTGACAGAATCTCTTTAAGAAAAGGAATGAGAATATAGAATAGATTTTGACTAGGCAATTGGATGTTTTTGTTCCCATATTCTTCTCTTTCCCCTGAGTATTCAATGTTTGATAAAAGAAGATAATCCTGATTAATATCATAGATTTATAAAACCTCAAATATTTAAGAAATTGTTCTCATTCGAAACATTTATTCTTATGTTTGAAAGCGCTTAGTCACAAGAATGAGCTTTTCATAGCAGAAGGCCTAATATTATACATACAATGAACTTAGGGGTCTATGTACAAAAAGTTTGCCGAGCAAATGTGACACACATCTGCTCAGCTCCAACAAAACTTGCCATATTCTGTGTTATATAACTTGTATATCTTGTATGACTGTGAATATCTTCTAGTGGACACAATGCGGTACTTGTTTTTTAAATACAGGCATACTTCAGTTTACAAATTTAATGCGTTTTTTGGAACGTTTTGTCTTGCGGAAAATTCATAAACCAAAACTCGGTTTCCCATAGGAATGCATTGAAAACCAATTAATCCATTCCAGAGGTCAGAAAAAAGTTAAAAAGTACCGTATTTTATCTGTTCAAAACTCTTTATAAAGTGCACTTTAAAGGCATAAATACTGTACAGGTACGTGATTAAAAATTAATTCCTAAATGCATTGAAAACCAATTACTCTGTTCTGGAGGTCAGAAAAGAGTATAAAAAAAAAGGCTTATCTGTTCAAAACTCTTTATAAAGTGCACTTTAAAGGCACGGGTTGGCGCTCTAAACCTCCCAGTTGCAATGCATCCTGGAGAAATATGCTTCATATTGCGAAAAAAATTTGTAAACCAAGGCATTATTTTCAATGGATTTGCATTCGTAAACCGAATATTACCTTAACCAAGGCGTTCGTAAACCGAGGTACACCTGTAACTTAATCAGGAAAAAGAAAAAGGAATTTTGTCTACTAGTGGGCACTTACGATTATGCATGATCATTCTATAACAGAGAATATGCCAAATTTCATTGGAGCAGTATGTCACTTTCATTCCACATGCTGTGTGTTGCCTATGATTGTATGCATGTAATTAATAGAAATATGAATGTCTCTACCTAATATGCGTGATACTATAGAGGATAAACATTGCCATAAACACCAGAAGATTACTAAAATTGTGCAATGCTTTATGTTTTTTTTCTGGTGAGCTGACATGAAGTACACCCTGCTCCTTTGTAAAATCTTAGATAAGAATGCCACTCCACACATAAGGGCTATTGTTTCTTTTGATAGTTCCTAATTTGTAATTCCATTGTTATTTTGTCTTTCAGATGTGCACAGGATTATTCAAAGAAGAGAACTTTGCACCCCTGGATCCAACCCAGGAGCTTATATTTCCACCAGCACTCATAGTAAGCTTTTCCTCTGTTTTCTAAGTACAGTATCTTGGTTCTGCATGTTTTTCATGAGTAGATTGTTGGAATTATTTTTTTGTGTGTGTGTGTATTTAAGTCACTAATGTATCAAACTTCCTGGGAAATTAGGAAACTCTGCACATTCTTCCTTCTCCTTCCTTACTGGGCACACCATCTTCCTTCCCGGACACACTGTTCACTCCCACCTTCCTTACTAGGGATGAGCGAACCATGCCATAGCTGGAAAGTGTAACTACACCTTAATAACAGCCCTGATTTCCCTAAGGCAAGCCTATCAGTACATGGTAGCCTACACACATTTAAAACACAATGCTATAGTCTCTGGTCGAGTGGCACGAGGGACTGAAAAAGGATAAAGGAAAGAGTACCTGTGATCTTTAGGAGTATTAGGCATTCACTAGCACAGCAGTAGAAAAGGCAATAATTTAAATCCAGAGGCAGGTGGTGGTCAGGGCAGGCAGCAGACAATAAGTGTAATTCAGGGACAGGCAGAAGTCAGGACATACAGCAGACTATAAACATAATTCAGTGACAGGCAGAAGTCAGGACGGACAGCAGACTATAAACATAATTCAGGGACAGGCAGAAGTCAGGACGGACAGCAGACTATAAACATAATTCAGGGACAGGCAGAAGTCAGGACGGACAGCAGACTATAAACATAATTCAGGGACAGCCAGAAGTCAGGACAGACAGCAGACTATAAACATAATTCAGGGACAGGCAGAAGTCAGGACATACAGCAGACTATAAACATAATTCAGTGACAGGCAGAAGTCAGGACGGACAGCAGACTATAAACATAATTCAGTGACAGGCAGAAGTCAGGACGGACAGCAGACTATAAACATAATTCAGGGACAGCCAGAAGTCAGGACAGACAGCAGACTAAAAACATAATTCAGGGACAGGCAAAAGTCAGGGCAATCAGAGGACTATAGGCATAATCCAGGAAGGGGCCAAGTTAAGGCAGGCAGCAGATGATAAATGCAATCCAGAGACAGGCAAAGGTCAGGGCTGACAGAAGGATAGAGAGTAATTCAGGAACAGAAAAAGGTCAAGGAATAGTATCAAAGTTTAGAGTGGTAAGTATAGAGCCAGTGTTGGTAGAACTATCCAAACCCAAGATCTGTATATTTGTGATTCTTTAATAAGGTGCCTTAAAGTGATTGTTAACCTTTGTTTTTGTTTTTTTTCATAAAATAACAAATATGTTATAATTAGCTGCTCTGTACAATGATATTGCACATTGTGGCCCCAAACCTCCTCTTCTGGGGTTCCCTATCAGTGATTTTTGTACCTCCTCTTCACTGATTGCTATGGAGCACTCATGCAGACTTGATACCAAGCCGGGCTGTGCATGTCCACAGACACACATAGCGTGGCTCAGACCTGCTCCCAGTCCCTCCTCACACAATTTGACTGACAGCAGCAAGAACCAATGGCTCCCTCTGCTTTCCAAAAAGCTCTAGAATGTAGAAAGAGGAGAGTGGGACTGCCAGTGGGGACAGTGCTGGATTGAGAATGGTGTCAGGTGTTTAGGTGCGACGGCATGGCCTAATCTAGGGGGGGTACTGGGTTGGGCTGCGCCTCCCCAGATTTCAGTTGCACCCCCTCATAAAGCCCTGAGAGAGAAAACATGTAATTTATGAGCTCTGATGCCTCTGCAAATAAAGAGCCTGTGCAATCTCCTTGTCGGGTAATCACTGCTGTTTTGCCTGGCGATCCTCTTCATCTCACAGATGTGTGCTCTCCTGCAAGCAGCAGTGAGTATTCCCTGCTCTCACCCAGTCTCCTGAACTGCTGACACATCTCCTGGCCTGGGGATCGTCACACACTACTTTTACCCAGACCCTTCCTACTCTCTACAACACAATATACTAATACCTCCTGTACATGAGTGTGGTGGACTGTTGGCAAATCCTCAACCCTGCTCTCTCCTGAGCTGAACAAATGGTGAGGAACTATTGATGCAGCTCCCTGCATAGCCTGCCAATCTGCCACTCTCCCTTCTAGTCCTAACACCCCTGTTTCACTACTTTTGAAGCAGGTGTGCCCCACTAAACTGGCTATCCTCTCCATTTACCTCTACCATATTTTTAGATGCTAAAGACCTCTCCTTCATCTCTGCCCCCGTGGACTGCTGCTACATTACCTGGCACAGGGGTGCCCACGCTGTGATCCTCCAAACTCCTCTCACTCCCTCCAGAATTAAAGACTAAGTTCACCTTAATAGAAAAAATAATACATGTTAATATTTTTGCAGAACAAAAAATGTGCACTACATTTTTTTCCAGCAGGAGCCTAGAAGCATTGCACTTGCATCAGTAGATCATGTAGATCAGGTGCAATGCGGACTCCTGCGACATGTCATCTGGATTTCAGCCTGTACACATGTCAGTGGACTACAGGAGTGCTCATTAGCACTCCAGTAGCCCATTGAAACTACAAGTCTTTCTGTCCTGGTGGAATACAGTACTTACAGTACTTACAGTACATACACAGTAAGGAATCTGTGAATGAATAACGCAGCTGTGTGGATGCAGCCCCTACTTTTCAGAAAGTGACAGCTTGTGCATGGAGAAGAATCTCCACCAGATGTCATAGGGAGGGTAGAGGGGGCAGGAACTGGAACATGTTACAGATTCCACCCTAGATACGGGTGGAGCATGTAACATGTTCTGAAGGTTAGTGGATCCTTTAAGCCACAGGTGTCAAACACAAGGCCCGCAGGCCAAATCTGGCCCTCCAGGCCATTTCATGTGGCCCTTGCACCTCTCCTGCAGGTACTCCCTTATCTCCACCCCCCACCTAGTTTTAGGAGTTGGCAGCAGAGAGGAGGAGAATAGAACTCCCCTGCCAAATCCTGCACCTGTCAGTGCAGCTGCAGCACCCCCTCATCTCTGCCTCCCCTGGTCTCAGCATTCAGCAGACTCTAAATAACATAAGGTGCAACGCTAGATAATTCCAATGAGTACTAAAAGCATAAATGAATAATAAAATGTCCTCAAAAAATAGAAGCAAAAATAAACAGTTCATAAAATTTAAATTAAGGATGATCCACTTATTATAGCAGGATACCAAGACAGGTTTGTGTCAGGAACAAATGATAAAAGTGCGCACTCACCGGACGCTCACAGATAATGGGCATGTAATCAATATCCACCAGGGTCACTTATGTAGGCGGAGTAGGTCAGCTTCCATCTAAAGGTAGATAATCTTGTCTTGGTAGTGCATGTTTAAACTGCTAGGTCAGGAAGTCCCCTTAAGGTTGGACGGGTGAGCAGCCTGGGTACAGGGCTTCCTCCCTTTGGTGGTAGTGGATCGCAATAGGGTATCCTGGAAGTTAATTAGCTCCAATGGGAACCAAAAAACAGGTGCCCATAGTGTAGTAATTTGAAGATTTTATTCAGAGTACAAGTTAAAACAGGGTAGTATAACACTCAGAAAACACAGTGGTGGTAAAGAGAAGTACTGACCCCTTAGCTAAGATGGCCACCGGGCCTCCTCGTGGCTCCCCTCTGATGATGTGCTCTGCACGAAAGGCCTAAGGAGGAGCCAACAGAGCGTGACGTCACAGCCGCCTGGAGCCACGAGGATGTAATGGGGGTGGGGTGCTCTGGACATCTAGTCTTACAGGTACAACCAACCCTTTTAGGGCAACCATAATGCTGATACGGCCCACGATGAAATGAAGTTTGACACCCCTGCTTTAAGCAGTTGGAGAAAAATGATCACTGCTACCCCTTATCTAAGGCTGCTGCCCAACATTGTCCTTACTGGTCCTGCAACTCCTACATTGATATAATTGTGATCTCTCCTGCTCTTCCCCACATACATTTGTAGAAGTCAACGCCCCACCTGCCCTCTCCACCCCGGACACTATGACCTGCCGCTGAGCCCCTTCTCCTGTCCCTGCACTGCATACAGTCTGGACACAGACAGCAGAGCTCCTCCTGTACACACTACACATAGGTGAGATCACATTATCTTACACACAGCCACAATCTGCACACAATACCTCTCTACTTAGCATGCTCTATTGTGAATATTTGTTTTTTTGGAGGGAGTTTGCAGGGGCCATGGAATTGGAGTTCATTGGAAGCTCCTTTTCTATGTCAATACCAATGAATTACTTGTAGTTTTTGTCTGTTTCAATAAGTTTTTATTAAACAAGCAGTATGGTGTCCAGGTACAAATACTTGACAGTTCTTTGCTCTTACAGAGGTATGTATTTTAACAAGTAATGCGCAGAAGAGTTACAAGCATAAAAAAACTAAGGGGTCATGCCAAAACAGTTGCTAAGCCCTCCTATGTACTACACATTCCTATTAAGTGGAGCTGTGATGGTATAAGGTACACACAACGGATCTCCTGTCCCCTTAGGAATTTAAGTGAGATGATAGAATAAGCTTTCAACCCGGGAACAAGCATGAATTACTTGTAAGCTCTTTCAAATAAACAGAGAGCATTCTACAAAATGCAGTACGTTCTAGCTGCCAATCACAATTTATGTTTTACTAACTTGGCTCCAGTACACTAAGGGTAGATTCACTCCGGGTAGTACAGTGAGAATATGTTGGACAGCTATTCCAGCACAGTCCCACCAAACCCCCGCCACAAGACAAGGAATACTGCCTTGTCTCCGGTGTGGCCGATTCACACCACTGCATTGTAGTGGTGTGCAGGTGGTGTGCACTGAAAAAACAAATGCTTGCAGTACATTTCCAGCACAGCACAGTCACTGTGTGCTTGCTGATAGAACTTTATGAAATGTCACTGTGAGACATTTCAACAAAGTCCATTTAAAAAAAATTAACAGTGCAATGTGCAGGGATTGGCACTGCAACCACACCAGCTGCTGTGTTGTAACACAGTGGTTGGCGTGAATGGACCCTAAAATCTGCTTAAAGCTGAACTGCGGGATGAAAAAAAAAATTGTCTATATACAAGTCCTATTTATTCTTACTTTAATCTTGATTTACTTTGCATATTTCTTCCAGATCTGTGTTTGAAACTTTTCCACTGTGTAGCAGCTCCCTCTCCTTGTTCAGGGTGACTGGTCTTGTTTCCTCCTGTAGTTTTCTGCAGGCATCATGTATTGGGTGGGCACGGTGGGCTCATCCCCAGCTCTGCTCTCAGCACAGGCTATGTACAGCACTGTGACAATTTTTCTGCTGCTTTCACAAAGTAATATCTGGCTTTACAAAGGCATTTGGTGCACACAAAGTGAATATGTGACTATTGAGGAAAATATTTAAATGAAAGCTTTTGTGCCAGTGCAGAAGTGGAATGGAATGGATTACTGCAGTTTGCACGTTTATTATACTTTTATACTGTTTGAAAAGGGTCATGAGTTCAGCTTACCACCAATTGATGTAACCAATCTCCTGTCAATTTATGATCTTTTTATTAAATAGTTCCCTGATAATTTCCTGTTACATTGTTTTGTCAGCTAATGGACAATGAACATAAGACAAGTCTGAAATTTCAAGGAGAACGAATAACATGGTTTTCTCCTACCAGCCTCCAGGAATTACTGCAGCTGAAGGATACATATCCAAAAGCACCACTTGTAGTTGGGAACACTGCTGTAGGTAAGTGAGGATGTATTTAGCAAAATATATAAAGATAGATATATCAGTCTATAACTGAATATTCTTAAAGTACACTACAAGGAAGAATAAATAATGTGACTTTGGCACATAGTTAAGAACTTTTTCAATGGTCAAATGAGTTTAAAAACCCTCTGCAACCTATTAAACCAGTCAGCTTTCAACTACCGGTATTTAGCTAGCAGGGTTTTTTCATCTTAAACTATTTAGCTTTATATAGGTAGTTTCTTTGCAGTAAAATGATGTACAAAAACCAAGACAAGGCAGTTAAAGCTGTTAATCAGATTATATATCAACCTCGTATTTTTGCATAGTCTCCAAAAAGCAAACAAAAACGTGATTTGCCATGACATTGGTTTAAAATTCTCCTATGTATTAGTTAATCTTATCTTTAAGGTTTGTTTTGTTTAAACTTTTATTAATTGGTAATGAATAATCTACTACTAAGCGAATGGCCTCGTTTGAGCACATAGTAAATATTTGATTTAACTTGGCTAATCAGCAGTTGGCTGCAGAAACACTGAGGAAGTTTCCATTCAAATGAATGTATTCCCATATGTAAAAAGATAGAAGATATGTTTTAGATATGAAATGGGAGATCAGAAATTTGTTTTAACTAACAACAGAGCCTGTTAGGTTAGAAACATAGATGGTACCTCTACTGAGTCATTTTTGAAGGTGCATGCTTCATGTTTGTTATCCTCACTTTACTATTTGGCTTGTGCGGATCTAATGTCTGGATACCTCATACACCCTTTATACCTGTAGCATCCTCTAGTGTGCTACTAGAATAGTGCAGTGAATAATAGGCAAAATCATTGTGTGACTAAGGTAGTTGTGTGGGTCATGTGATTAAGGTTAGGTTATTGCAGGTCAGCTGCACGACTCTACAGGTTGTGGCTCTATCACCTCCTCCTGGCTCTGGAGGACCATAGAACCTTCCAGAGGTCAGTAAGAAGGGGGAGTGGAGGCCTAGTTTGCATATTCATGGGAGGTCCAGTCAATCCCATTCTTGGAGGCCCTGGTAGAATGGTGGACTGGCCAATAAATATGGGAGAGTCAGGCCAAAAGGGAAGTTGGGTGGAAGATGGAGTACTGAGGAGACTATCAGTGTCTAGGCAAGGTCCTCTAGGTCTGGGGGGGGGGGGGGGGTCTGGCCTCTAGGCTGGGCTCGGGCTGGCTCAGTAGGATATATTCTGCAGAGAGGCATGGATGGGATCAGGCCTAGAGCAGCAGGGAGTAAAGAGGACATTGTGAGTACAGCAGCACACTTTGGGATCTACAAGAGGAAAGATTGCCACATGTAGCAAGCTTTCCAGGGAAATCATTAAGCTAAATACTTTTATCCTTGATCCAAGAGATCTTCTGAGAAGCCAGGAGGGCTGGTAGTTTCTGCAGGCCAGGGAGCTGGGAGAAGATGTTTCTGCATGTAGCTACAAAAAGTAAAGTAATTTTTGAGGGGCTGCTAGTTCCTTGACCATAAGGGGCAGCTGCTACTGATCCGCAAGGACTGACAGCTTTCAGGAAAAGAACAGTCCAGGATCTGCTTTGTACATAGAAAGGTAGTGTCCCCTTTCCATTATTTCAAGTCAAATTGGGCATCCCATAATCCCTATTTCCCTATCCAAGTTGAATTCCCCTAATAAAACAACAAAAACCAAGTTCATGAACTGGTCACTGTCTCTGGATGCAAGTCTGTGTAAAAATACCAGTTGCCTGGCTGTGCAGAGGGAAGCTTAGGGATACCCACAACACAGCAGCCCTCACAAGGGTATCGCTACATACCTTTTCAGAAAGTAATGAAACAAGGATAAAGTGGAATTGCACAGAATCTGGGTACGTAACACAAACCAAAAATGCTATATATTTCATTTTTAATATTCAAAACAAATTCTTCCATCCATCTCTGTCTCCATGCTTTATTTTGCTAAGAAATCATTTTGAAAAACACCTCCTGGCATTTCTGGCAGTGGCAATCTTGAATAAGGGCGGATGATTCATCTAGCAGTTACTTTGTGGAATCCATCTGTCCTTAGCTCAGGCATTGGCTGAGCTGAGAACCCTCCCTCCCCCTTGTGAAGACTCCTTGGATGTATGACATAATTTGCCTAGGCATGGAAATCTGGAAGAAAATGAAGGAATGAAAAAGAAAGGTTAACATAAGTAACATGATATACTTTTCTATCTATTTACCAATGCTAGCAGCATAAGAATTAGAAATAGTCCATGTTGATTGACAAACTGAAGTCCCACTTTAAGAATGAAACCCAGAGCATACATCTTTAGAAAAAGAGGCCAACAATGACAGATCAGATAGAGCTTTTGTCTCCTAATATATTTATTTTAAACCAAAAACTATTTCCATGTTTTGTGCAAGGTGTTGGCTAAAGTTGATTCATAGCCATCATTTTTAAAAAAGTAAGGAATGTGCAAAATGCTTGTCAAGTTGTTTTGCTGCCTTGTCCATTGAAGAAATATCCAAATGCGTACTGACTACAGTCGTTACCAGGGTAAATGTTTGGTTGTTGTTAGCCTTTTTCAGCTGGCAATAAAGAAGCAGTATGTCATCATTGATTCTGGATCTTATCTTCTTTGAATCACTTTGCATTATCATCTTCAAGTGAGCACTGGGATATACCATAGTAGGACATTAGATGTCTGAATCCAATCCCTTGGGGCCTTCCTCATCTTGCCACACATACTTTATAAGGGCCCTTTCATACTGGCAGGAGTTCAGGAGGTGGTACTGCAGCCTTCTGATTCCTGTTTTTTTTTGCTTTTTTTAACTTTTTTTTTTTTTTCAAATGCCAAACTGCAATTTTCATATTGTGGGACCACACTGCAAATGTGAGCCAAACACTGATCTTTCCTGTGATATTCCCTGTAGAATTGGAAAGCGCTGATAGTGGTTTGGAGAGCAGATTTGAAAGGAGGGAGGTGCCTGGGAGCCATATCCCATTATTCCATACCTTATTTGACCCATTGAGATCCAAGGGGTTGAGTGTCTGGAGTGACAGCTTGTGGCCGCATTTTAACTTGCATCTTGTGTTATATGACTGATTTCTAAGGGTCTAATTGTCTTGTGAGAGTCCAATTTTTATGTGGCATACTGCATAGTGATGATATCCAATGGTGGGAAGAAATAGCCGCGTGGAATTGTGAGCATTTTGTTTATGAGCACTAATTCATGGACACAAGGACTATATAAAATAATTGTGCTTACTTTTCAGTGGGATCACTGTTTTGACAATAGAGCGCTGGTATTTTTTAAAAATCATATTGTCTACATGCCCAGAGGGACAGGGCCATTCTAGCTGCTGGGGGTTGTTGTATATATGATTTATATTGCGAGGATATTGTGATTCACCTGGATGTTGGATGTTAGATTTATCTTTTTATTATATTTAAACATACTGCATTTATTTTATTTTATAACAAATTGAGTTTAGGGTCACTTTAATTGTTGTCAGTACTGATATACTAATTAATCAACTGAACAGCTTACATTTATGCAGTTACATAATCATTTTCATACAAACTGAATGTTTGGTTAATTTCTTATACATCGATGCCCGGAGTCCACGAGTTTAAGTGCAGCAAAAACCCTTTGACATTTTTGGTTTTAGTCCATTTTTGATATGCAGCATTAACTGAACTTTTGCCAGGAATTCAGCTGGTTTATCAAAGAGATGCTCTGCGCAAATACAATCTTTTCCAATGTACAGCTCAAAGTACACCTGTAATAAGAGTGGAATGGGGGCTGTCATGGCAGGTCTCCTGAAAATGAGCAAACTCGTGCTCCTGGTTCATCTCGCCAATTTCTTGAAGGCTTCTCTAACTGGATCCTTCTTTCCAAATCCTTCTATTAATCCCAACTTGTTGTGTACTGATAATATTATTTAAATTTTTGCCTCTACCTTAGTAACCCTTTGGTGACTGAGTATAAAATAAATGTTAATGCCTGAACACAATTTTGCAACTTTGACACGTTAGCAACTACTTTGTGCATCCCGGTGGATTATACCTTGTTTATTTAGGACAAATTGGGCTTACTTTTGGTGTTAAATAGTAATGGATAGAAACATTTTGCTTTTTTTATCCTACCTAAAACATACTGACACTAACTGACACTGATATTAACTTAAAAAAATTATTTTTTTTTTTTAAAAATATGTCCTGCCCAATAAATACTGACCATGGCCTTTAACACCCTTACTTGACCCAAACACTAACTTTTTTTATTATTATTATTTACAAAGAAAAAGAGATACAATGAATCCTTAGTACAAGCTCCCGGTAAGATCCCGGGTTCAATGCAGCCCCACAGAAAAAAGCCCAGTTCATTGAGGCAGTATATATGCATAGTGTAGGCGGGGGGTTAATCTGGGATATAAAGTATGTTTGTGTGTCCTTGATGGAAAGACTTTTACTTAACCTTCTAATGGCTCCACAGACAGCAAACTCAGCAGAGATTCTATTTTTTCCCTACTCTGTCTGGAACTGAACAAAAAATATTCACTGCTTTCATTGCTGTACAGGTGTGTATATATGGACGTATACAGTGATCAGCCGTAACTTTATGACCACCCACCTAATATTGAGACCTCTGAAGGTATGCTGCTATATCTTGCACCAAGCTGTCAGTAGCAGATCCTTTAAGTCATGTAGTTGTGTGGTGGGACCTCCATGGATCCTGAAAGGTTGTCGCTAGCCCCTGGCTATCTGTCTTTACCAGTCTGTTGAACATACGGACACGTCCGGAGGATTGACTTCACCTCAGAAGCAACAGACACATACACACAGTGATAGGTGAAATCAATCTCTCAAGTTTATTAGCGGGAAGAAAATTAATATAACAGAAAAAAGAAAGGTGGGGGGCACAGAGTATCAACAAGCTGCGTTGTCGGTAATTGATTGGCTGAATACAAATAATACAATCATTGACGTCAATTCTGAAAAATGATGAGAAGTGGAGTTTCACTTTCCCAGGAATAAGGAAAGTTTCTACATTGTTTTTTTTAAAAACGTATCTGCTACATACAATAGAATCTTGCTAGATACTTGTCAAGGCTGTGAACATGATTTTTCTCAGGCCTTGAAATCAGTTACAAGTATCCAACATTTATTTTCCCATGGGACAGAAGTATTTGACTTTTAATTATATCATAACAGAAACAGGTGCTGTTAGTACAAAGAAATAATTGGATACTATCTCCGCCTCTACCAAGGCTAAGCTAAGATAAGAAGAATAGAAGAATATTGTGAGTACAGTTCTGTAACACATAACTGACACAGCATATTTTCATTAACTCATTCTGGGTATAATACAAAACAATTAATCAACATGGAATACAAAATATAGAATGGAGTGGGGGGAAAACAAAATAACAGACCTAAAAGACATATATTTCCCTTCAGATCCCACTTGTTTTTCCAACACATTATGCAGATGCTCATTTGGATTGAGATCTGGAGAATTTGGAGATCAAGTCAACATGTCTAACTTGTTATGTTCCTAATTCTTGAACCGTGTTTCAGTGTGGCAGGGAGCATTCCTGCTAAAAGAGACCATTACTATCAGGGAATACCATTTCTATGAATGGATGTACTTGAATAGCAACATTGTTTAGGTAGGTGGTAAGTGTCCAGTAACATCCACATGCATGGCAGGACCTAAGGTTTCCCAGCAGAACTTTGCCCAAAGAATCACACTGTCTCTGCTAGCTTGCTTTCTTGCTCCATGCTCTGATGCTCATTGTAGGCGCTTTTGGCTGTGGACACAGTTAAGCAGGGGCACCCTGGCGGGTATGTGGCTACATACACAATGAATTGTAATGTCCATTTTTTCTGCTTTCAACACATCAGCTTGTTTACAACATGCTTACTTGCTGCCTAATATATTCCACCAGGTGCCAGTGTAACAAGACAATCAGTGCTATTCACTTACTATGTCATTGGTCATAAAATGATGGTTGATCAGTATATAAATCAATATATAGATAGATTTATAAATTATTCCATTTAATTAGCCTCCCATTACCCTACTGCTGTTACATGTGCTGCTATAGGCTGATGTTAGTTTTGCCAACAACCTTCCAGTGTTAGGATCTCTAAGAAACAACTTACCTTTGTTTATGGAAAAGGTTCCCTTGCTGATCAGTTTACCTAGCTGTTGCTAGAAAGTAAGATTGTAACGAGACAATCAATGCTATTCACTTACTATGTCATTGGTCATAAAATGATGGCTGATCAGTATATAAATAAATATATAAATACATAGATATATAAATTATTCCATTTCATTAGCCTCCCATTACCCTACTGCTGTTACATGTGCTGCTATAGGCTGATGTTAGTTTTGCCAACAACCTTCCAGTGTTAGGATCTCTAAGAAACAACTTACCTTTGTTTATGGAAAAGGTTCCCTTGCTGATCAGTTTACCTAGCTGTTGCTTGAAAGTAAGATTTTGCAAATGTGCAATTCCATTAGGTGTAGTGGTTTACTTCACCTGAACAATTCACATTCGTCTTTTTGCCATACATTTTCTTACATGCCTATTGTCCCTAGTATAACTCCCAAAACTAAAGAATCTGGCAAAAAATAATCACATCCTTAGCAAAACAAGTATATTGAGTTAAAAAAAGATGGATATGTATGTAATCAATAGAAATATTTGTTTTTCTTTTTATTTAAATTTTAATGTTTTGTTTATTCTTTACCTGAAACATATATGTCTATTTATATTTTTTTTTTCACAAGTCACAAAACTTTCACCCAAAAAAATAACATTTTATAATAGGGTTCAATTGAGAAAATGTGTGAAACTTGGGTGAATCTAGTGTAAAAACATATTGAAATAGACCCTTGCATATGCAAATTTTTTGACATGGCTAGCTTTCTTTGTCAGTACATATTATATTGTCAGATAAAAATACATACAAAATGGAAGGGCATACAGTATATATATGTATTCTCTTTTGTGAACTCACTACCTGTCTGATACTGCAGGGCACATGGTTATACAGCACAATGCAAGAATTATAATTCTGTATGCTAGCATATTTTTGCATGAGAATATGTCACTGTCATGTATTTTCATTTTAGTTTTGCTTTTTGTGAAAAGTGGTAAATTGCTGTTAACAAAAGTGTGTTTGTCAATTAGGCTTTTATTAGAGCTGTCCTAAAAATATCTGGCACGTTTCTCCATAAGATAAATACCGGTACTTTCTCTGTTCCCCTTCTCTCTGATATTGATTTTCTAACATTGACTTAGATACAAATGTTTCAACTTATCAGTCATGTCACAAGGTTTACCTTTTGGCCTTTCCCAGTTTTGTTTGTAATACCTCCCTAAATGTTGGAACCATCATTCAGATATCTTTCTTCTGCACACAGGTACAGATCACTATAATCACAATTTTTAGCCATAGATGGCTGCCTGCTGCTAACAAGAACTATGGTCTAATTGTAAAAGTACCCAACTCAAAAAAAAAAAACACCAGAATGCAGAAAAGCAGGCACTTAAGGGTGTATTTATAAAAAAAATAAAATCCATAGCAATTTACCCAGTGAAGGTGCATGTACATTTGTTCTGTACAAAAGTGGCAAAAAACAAATATTATTAGGTTATTTCTTGTACTGTTCAAATGTTTTTCATTACTTTAAAATGGAAAATACCCATCTGGCCACTGGAGGATGCTAAGTATCATAGAACAAGCCACATAACCCCGTTATTCACTCCTATAATAATTACCCTTAGAGAGTATCTCACCGAAAATGAAATTCCTTTTGCAGAGGATGCCTAAAATGTTACTTGTATTTTAGTACAGACCTCTGAGAAAATCAGCAATCCTATCGCAAAAGCAGGAAATTACATTTTTGGTCATATTCAATATATTTAAAAATATATTTCAATAAATATATACTAGATGTTGAAATGCGTTTTTATTACAAAATATATGAAAAATATTTTTTAAAATACATTTAAAATATACTGTATGTCTTTAAAAATACAAATCTACATTTTTGGAATGCATTTACAAATAGATGTAAAAATATATCTTAAAAATGTTAAATTGACTTTTTTTATATGTTATATATATTTTAAATATATTCTTCAGATTTTTTTAACATACAAAAAAGTCATTTTAAACATATAGTTTTACATCTATTTGTAAATGCATTCCAAAAATGTAGATTTGTATTTTTAAAGGTATACAGTATATTTGAAATGTATTTTTAAAAATATTTTGTTAATCCAAACGCATTTCAACATGCAGTATATATATATATATATATATATATATATATATATATGTGTATATATAATGTTTTTTTTAAATATATTGAATATCGCCACAATTGTAGCATTTCAAATATATGGCAATACATTTGGGAAGAATATTTTTAAAATATATTTCAAATATATTTTTCTTCCCATGTGGGTTGTGGCACAAGCTGCAGCGGCTTAAATTACTAACCTGTCTATGTTTTCTGTTCGTTTGACATATTCCTACATAGTCATATCTGCAGGCAGAAAGCAGAGCATACAGATGTTAACTGGAGAAGGACGTGTATGCATCTGATTTCAACTATGAAAGCATTGTCATTAAATGTATGTCACCACTCAAATGACTTCATCTTCCATCCTGTACATTCAGTATTTAAGTAGATAGCTTTTAGCTTTAAGTATCAAGGGTGCCCACTTATGGACTAATTATTTTCAGATCCAAAATAACCTTTCATGGCTAATAGTCAATCCATATATAGGCTCCTTTAGCCTAGAATATATGGCTTTTGATAATTTGTATCTCATTTCAAATGATATTGTTTATACAGTCCAAAGCATTCTAATGCTCAACAACATTTAAACTGTGAAATTAGGCTTTTCATTTCAATCTTTGTGTCAGTATCTGTAAATGTTTTTCAGTCTTCTAGAGCAGGTGTCTCCAGACTTTCTAAAGAAAGAACCAGTTTACTGTCCGTCAGACTTTAGGGAGGGCAGACTGTGACCAGTGGGAGTAAGCAATGCCTGATCACTGGTATTGGGTGAATAAATAATTTGTTTGAAAGAATAGTGCCCCATTTTTGTTTTCAGTAGAAGGAATAGTGCTCCACCATTGGTGTCAGTAGAAGGAATAGTGCCCCATTGTTTGTGTCAGTGGCAGGAAAAAATCCTCAAGGGCCGGATAAAGGCAAGCTTAAGAGCAGCATACAGCCCCAGGGCCGCAGTTTGGAGACCACTGTTCTAGAGCATGATTTGTGTGTATTAAAAGGAATAGCTTATCTACTGAAATTCAATACATAGGATGTTATAATTCACCAGGGGGGTAATTGACCTTAATAAATGCTCTTGCATTGTGTCGCCATGCACTTATCTGGCCATTGATCTTCTTTGATGAATTCTAATATTATAATTTTTTGCATGAAGGTGCATTATCCCAGATAATGTACAGTATATTAGCTGTTAAAAATTCTCTTTTACCTATTTTTTCTTAGGTCCAGAGATGAAATTTAGAGGAGTGTTTCATCCAGTCATCATCTTCCCTGGAAGAATAGCTGATCTCCATGTTGTGACTAAGGAAGAATCAGGTTATATTGGAACTATACTCTCTTTAAGGCTGAACTCTAGACTAAACAAATAATGTATAAATATATGAGACATGTACATAGGCATGCGCACAGGGTGTGCCTGGGCACACCCTAATCACCCTGTGCGCATTAGCATATTGTTCTGTGTGCTGGCGGGGAGATGGGAAAGATATAACTCTGAATGGGTCCGCTATAAGAAAAGTGCTTCCGCACTTCTTTCACTGTACCGAGCAGAAGATGGGAAAGATCTGCCACTGAGCAGCTCTGTTTATAAGAGAAGTGTGGAATCTGCAGGCAGGGAGCGAATGTGCTGGCAGGGAGATAAGAAGATCTTCTCTCTAACTGGCAGAGTGCCGCAATGAAGAGTGGTACTGGCCTTACAACCAATCAAGAGTCCTGGCAGGAGCTCACGTGCCCATATGTCAAGCTCCCTGATTGGTTGGAAAGCCAGTATCACAGAATTTATGCAAAAAGAGGTAAGAAAATGATGATGATGGGGTGTGAATCTCAGATTCTTTTTCCCTCCCAAGCTGTTCAAACCTGTATTTTGCTTCATGCAGATGAGGGGTAGGCACATCACTGCAGCCAACATCTGATCTTTTTTACCTGCCTATCTGTTAGGTTGTCAAAAATGGAGTTTATTCACTAAACAGGCGATTATGGACAGTTCAAGGCATATATATATATATATATATATATATATATATATATATATATATATATATATACACACACACACACAGGTACATCTCAATAAATTTAGAATATCACCATTATATAGATTCATTACATTATATTTCAAACATTTCTTTCTCTTAATTTTGGTGATTATGGCTTACAGCTAGTGAAAACCCAAAATTTTGTATCAAATGGTTTCTCAGTCTGGTCAGTCATGATTACACAATCATGGGGAAGACTGCTGACTTGACAGTTGTTCAGAAGACAGTCATTGACACCCTCCACAAGGAGAGGTAAGTTAGAAAAGGGCATTGCTAAAGAAGCTGGCTGTTCACAGAGTGTTGTATCCAAGCATATTAATGGAAAGGTGAGTGGAAGGAAAAAGTGTGGTAGAAAAAGGTCCACAAGCAACAGGAATAACCACAGCCTTAAGAAGATTGTGACACAAAGGCCATTCAAGAATTTGGGGGAGATTCACAAGGAGTGGACTACGGCTGGTGTCAGTGCTTCAAGAGCCATGACGCACAGACGTATCCAGGACATGGACTACAACTGTCACATTCCTTGTGTCAAGCTACTCCTGAACCAGAGACAAAGTCTGAAGTGTCTTAACTAGGCTAAGGAGAAAAAGGACTGGAATGTTGCTCCTTGGTCCAAAGTCCTCTTTTCAGATGAAAGTAAATTTTGCATTTCATTTGGAAATCAAGGTCCCAGAGTCTGGAGGAAGAGCTGAGAGCCACAGAATCCACGATGCATGAGGTCCAGTGTTAAGTTTCCATAGTCAGTGATGATTTGGGGAGCCATGTCATCTGCTGGTGTTGGTCCACTGTGTTTTATCAAGTCCAAAGTCAGGGCAGCCCTCTACCAGCAAGTTCTAGAGCACTTCATACTTCCCTCTGCTAACCAGCTATATGGTGATGCTGATTTAATTTCCTAGCAGGACTTGGTACCTGCGCTTTTTGCCAAAAGTACCAATACCTGGTTTATTGATCATGGTATTGCAGTGCTTGATTGGCCAGCCAACTTGCCTGACCTAAACCCCATAGAGAATCTGTGGGGTATTGTCAAGAGGAAGGTGAGAGACATCAGACCCAACAATGCAGACGAGCTAAAGGCCGCTATCAAAGCAACCTGGGCTTCCATAACACCTCAGCAATGCCACAGTCTGATCGCCTCCACGCCACGCTGCATTGATGCAGTAATTCATGCAAAAGGAGCCCCGACCAAGTATTGAGTGCACACTATACTGTACATGGCCATACTTTTCAGTAAGCCAACATTTCTGTATTAAAAATCTTTTTTTTTTCATTGGTCTTATGTAATATTCTAATTTTCTGAGTTACTGAATTTTGGGTTTTCACTAGCTGTAAGCCATAATCATCAAAATTAAATAAACGCTTGAAATATATCACTCTATGTGTAATGATTCTATATAACATATGAGTTTCACTTTTTGAATTGAACTACTGAAATAAATTAACTTTTTGATGATTTTCTAATTTATTGAGATGCACCTGTATACACATGTATGTATATTTGAGCTTTGGGGTGTACACCCTAATGTAATAGGCTGCACACACCCTATGGACATGTACATTGGTACTTGAATATTGGTGTCCTTTGCTCATTTCTTCCAGATCTGTGCATTAATCCAGCATGAAACAACTCCTACACTTGGTCTCTGTGCAGAATGTTCCTGTAATAAAAACCGGTCACTGTTGCTCCCTCTCTTTGTGCAAGGTGACTGGTCTTCTATCCACCCCCTCTTGTAGTTTTCCACAGCCAGCCTATAGTAATTGGACATGTAGGGCTCCATCCACTGCTCTCTGCACAGGCTATGTACAACACAGTGATGATGTCTCTCTTACTTTTATAAGACAATAACTGGATTTTCTAAGTCATTTGGTGCACACAAAGTGGATTTATATTCTTTGTGACAATTAAGGATTACATTTAAAGGAAACATTTTGTGCCCAGAGTCCAGCTTTAATGTTTTATTTTGTATATATACATATATATATATATATATATATATATATATATATATATATATATATCTATATATATATATATATATATATAAAATAATTAGTGAACATGACATGGCTTAAAAAACAGGCACCCTGTGGTTCCTGAGGTCTGTGTTAGTCCAGGCTTCAAGACTGTAGTTACTTTAGGTACGTTGTAGGCCAGATCAGGCTTCCTTAACCACTTGCCCTCCTGAGGATTTATCCCCCTTCCTGACCAGTCCATTTTTTGTGTTAGGGCGCTGCGTTACTTTAACTGACAATTGCACGGTCATGCAATGCTGCACCCAAATGAAATGTACGTCCTTTTTTTCTCACAAATTGAGCTTTCTTTTGGTGGTATTTGATTGCCTATGCGGTTTTTATTTTTTGCGCTATAAATAAATCACAATTTTGAGAAAAAAAATAATATTTTGGACTTTTTGCTATTAAGCATGTTCAGTAAAAAAAATAAAAAAAAATAAATTTCATCATAAATGTAGGCCAAAATGTATTCTGCGACATGTCTTTGCTACAAAAAAAAAATCCTAATATGTGTAAATTAATTGGTTTACGTGAAAGTTATAGCATTTACAAATGGTGGTAGAGATACTGTGATTTTTTTTTTTTTTCTACTAGTAATGGCGACGATCAGCGACTTAGCGGGACTGCGGCGGACATTCTGACACTGTGACACCAATACAGTGATCAGTGCTAACAAAAAAAGCACTGACACTGTACAAATGACACTGGGCAGGAAGGGGATAAGAGGTGATCGATGGGTTAACTATATGTAGGGAGTGTTTTACTAGGGGGGAGAAGGTGTGTGCTTCACTGTAAGCAGTGTGCTCAAGCTGACAGGGAGGAAGACTGTTTGTAAACAAAACAGTCTTCCTCCCTGTCGGAGATGCTCGGTAATCACCGGAAGCCGACGAGTAATTACCGGCCGGGACCCCGTGATTGACAGCCGTGGCCGCAAATTGCCTTGTGGGTAGGGCGCTCATGCTCGCCCCCTACCTGGAAATGCAAAATCACACATATATATATATATATATATATATATATATAATATATATATATATATATATATACAGTATATACATACATGTGATTTTGTGCACCCGTGCTGTCCTGTAGCAGTATTTCTGCTATAGGGCGATCGGGAAGCGGTTAAAGAAGATCTTATGTGTTTTCCATAATACAACTTCTAAAATGTTATTGCAAATACCTTATAAGTGTACATTTTTTAAATAATGTAATTTTCTTAAAAAAAAACATTTTCCTTCTCTCTGCTCATCCCTGTTCAGTTTCTCAGATTGTGGGCTTTACTAATGTAGTTGGTGGCAGAGCACAGCTGTCGCAGCTCCTTTGTGTAGCTGTAATATAATATCAAAATAAATAGTGATATAAATATAAATGGAATCACTTGCTATTGAGCTGTGGTCTGTGTGTGAGATAGTGCAAGTGTAAAGCCGAAAGGCAGAATGGCTGGGATGAGCTGCTCCCCTATATTGTGTCTCTGATTGTTCACAGAGAGACACAAGTGCTGTAAAAAAATCTCTACAGCCTGTCAATGTATGAATCTCAGTTTCTATAGCAGCTAGAAGCACAGATAGATATATTTTTTCATATGTTTCTGATTTTAAAGCTGGAAAAGCAGCTACTTATTACAATTATTACAATGATAGATCTTTAAACTGAGAACTCATCAGTTTTTTTATTTTAAAACTGTATCCACGTATAGTTTATAGTAATGATCCCTGTACGGGGGCAGCATTTTTTATATCATGACTAAATAAAACAAGCAATGAGTGTTTTACTAAACAAAGAGCAGTGATTGGAAGCCAGGGACCATTTGGAGTATGACCTAGAGAACAGAAGGGTTCTGTTTTTTGACAAGAAATAGATACTTTTTTTCATCCATAAAGCTCCATACACACGGGGTGTTTTAATAACGCTGCTAACGTTAGCTGTGTAAAGTCATGTTAAAAACGTAAGTTTTTCAGCGTTTTTTATCATTTTTTTAAATTAGCGTTTAGCAGAGTTTTGCTGCGTTATTTCACGTTTGCATTTTTTTGTGTTTTTTAAAACCAAAAAAAAAAATTATTTTTTGCTAAAAAACATGGCCAAAAATGCCAGTTTGCTGCGGTTTATCGCGTTTTTCAACGTTAGAGCGTTTTTACAGCTAAAAAAAAATCTCCCCTAGAAACTCATTAGTTCTGGGGGGGATTTCCTGCAAAAAAACCGCCCCTGCCAAAAAACGCTGATTACAGTCTATGTATGCATGGACACATAGGATAACATGCTGGGGAGTTTACTGGCTGTAGAAAAAAATGCCAAAATCCAAAAACAGCCGCTGTAAAAACATCCCGTGTCCATGAGGACTTAGAGTGAAGTGATTTGGCAATTATGATATGGAAATTTATGTGAAGTGTGAATTTCAGTGACTGTAAAGCTACCATTTTGATCTGAATTCACAAACATTGCAGGCATCAGACAAAGATTGTCTAACCCTTAGTTCTTTATTATAGGAATAACAGTGGGAGCAGCTTGCAGCCTGACAACATTAAGAGCAACCTTAGCTGAAGCTGTCTCTGCAATTTCTGAAGAAAAAAACACATTGTTCAGAGCCCTTCTGCAGCAGCTTTCCACTCTAGGAGGTGCCCAGATCAGAAACACAGCTGTAAGTATGTGCAAGGTATTTGTAAAACAAAACATGTCCATGCTAGTATTACAGTCTTTGTATTAAAATGTGCTAAAACCGACCATAGATGGGAAGGTATGTTCCACTGGACAACAGGCTAGAAGAAACCTCTGTTTCCTGAGTACCTACAACTGTTTTTTGTATGAAGTATCCATCAGACTGGGGCAGTGCAATCAATTAACACCTTCCTATTCTGCAAAGTTAAAGAGAGATTTACCAGCAAATTGGTGAACCTCTGTGAGCAATGATGAGAGCTCCTAATTGTTGGAAAAACTCACTTACCATGACAGCTCATGCACTCTACAAGTATCAGATTGGATATGATTGGGATGGGATGAAGCGGTTGATGATCACCCCACTTTATATATAAGACACCAGTCACTACAAGCTCTGTCATTAATTATACACTTCAATCTCTTCCAGTCTTTAGGGGGAAACATCATTAGCCGCGCTACAACCTCTGATCTGAACCCAGTTCTTGCAGCAGGAGGCTGCATCCTCAATTTAGCCTCAACAGGTACTGGAACTAAACATGATGGTATTTAATTCTGATATTCCAAAATAAAATAGTTGTTACCAAAAATCTATTTAATATATATATATGAATCTATTGAATATACAGTATATGTAAATATTTTCAGGATGTGCTAGTTAGACTATTGGCAGCCCTGACAGTGAATAGGACAGTCACAACTAATGCATTAGGAATAAGGCAGGGAATGGGCATATTTTCTGACTAAACCATGGTGCATGAGAAGGTAGTGTTGTATAGTTGGGTCTGCAATGGGGATTATTAGACCTCTCTTCTGACTGTATTAAGAGATGCCAACTGAGGAGAATAATAAAATGATGCAGAATTTTCAATACAATTTCCTGCTTTATCTGTATTTACATTAAAGTGTTACTAAACCCACAACTGTAAAATCAGTCTGTATATGCAGTAAAGTATGCTTGTTATACTCACTGTGGAACCTAAGGGGATAATCCTCTGCATTGTGTAAAAAGGCCGTTTGATCCTGACTTCTCTGCTCCCCCTCTTGTTCAAATGTCCACGTCTTATCTCCTAATAAGACAGACTGAACCGTAGCCATTCTGCCCATTCTCAGGTTGGTGTGCATTGCCAGATAATTTTTTTTTCTTGGGAGAGTGCATTTGATCCGCACAGGGCCAATCAGCACTGTCCAGAGAGAGGTCAGGGGTTTTTTTTGCATCCTCCTAGAGCAGAAAGAATATTCCTACAAGCTTTAACCAGTGCCCTGCTGAACACTGATAGAAGTCATAAGACTACTATATGCTGCTGATGAGGAAAGGTATTTAGCAATTTATATTTACTAAAATAATTGCACTTCCATGTTCTGTGTACTGTAGGAGACCAGATATAGTGAATGCAGGGTCCTGGGTTTAGTAACGCTTTAAATATCATGTCTCAATCCTTTAGAATAAACAACACCCCAGTAAATCAGTGCATGCACTATTTCAGTCAGTAAATACACGTACTGTTGCCCTGATTATACACAGCAATCCAGTCCAATAATTCAGGCACTCACCTGTGGGACTATTTCACCCAGCCAAAGTACCATACAGTGAAGACCTCAGGGTAGGGACTAAAGGCAAGCATTTATCTTTGTGGATTACACTGACGAAGTATGGAGAAGCAGTAAACAAGAGCATCACTTAAAGGAAAAAGATTTTGATAAATGAGCAAATACAACTAGAAAAAAAGCAATGATGAGTTTAATATTAAATTCAGGAAGCCAAGACCTGTAAAGTGAAATAGCATTAAAATCTATCTAATTATCGTGTTCTGATATTCAAGTTGAATTCTAAAAGGGAATAGTGATGTCACTGCCCAGTTTCTACACCTTGTCCAATCAGAGAACGCCTTGTATTTATTAAGAAAACTACAGGGCGTTCTCTGCTGAGCAATCCCCTTCTGTTCATTATGCAGCAGGGCAGACGATGGGTGCGGGATCTGGAAAACAGTAAGGATCACTGTAGGATTCGCTTCCAAACAAATTATCTGGAATTCAGCTTTAAAGCCCACGTTCAACTGAACCTCCTTTGTTTTGGGAAAAGTGTGAAAGAGTTATCACTTTTGGCAGATTTTTGTTACTTGTTAGGTCCCCATTAAGGGGATTTCCCCCCACATTTAGTCACAGTAGTTTTCTAAGCAGAATGGGGAAAATGGCTGTATCCCCTGTCTCAGTGACCCCCCGTTCTCTTTTCTTGTAGTGGTGAGATCTCTCTCAAAGAGTCACAGGTAGCAACAAAAATCTAGAAGGATTTTTAGCCCTTTTTAACCCTTCCTTACTCAAAAAATAATAATTTTTTTTCTGAACAGAAGATGCATTTGTCTACAGAAGCCTTTCTAAATCTTTTTTTACCACAGGAAACCCTTTAAATATTTGTGAGAATTCTAGTTAAAGTGGAACTTCACTCTCCCAATCAACAATGACTATTTTTAATCCTTATGCTGTTAGCATTAGTAAATAGATAGGGAAGTACTGCATATCATATTTACACATTTTAAACTGTGGTTTACATTTCTTCAGTTACTTCCTGGTTTCCATGCCTAGGAAACAGATGTCACACCCCAGAAGCCTTCAGGAGGGGAGGGAGGGTTCTCGGCTCAGCCAATGCCTGAGCTAAGAAAATATGGATTCCATGAAGTAATTCATTAATCATCTGCCCTTACTCAAGATGGCCACTGCCAGAATTACCGGGGGGGGGGTGTAACGGAACCGGAACCCAGACCGCACTGAGTTTTTCCGTTATAGCACAACTTCCCCTGTCCGAACACCGTCCACGGACCACACCTTCGAAATCCCTCAGGAAAAAAAAGACAACACCCAGCTCCTACTAAACAGGAAGTCAACTAACTTTATTGTACACAAAACATGTTTTATACAGAGGGCGGGGAAAGACAACCAGGGACAGGAAATACATCATCAGCCCACCCTATCAGTGGGAAGGGCTACAGTATAGGCAGGAAACACCTCATCACCCCTCCCCATCCAACCAGACACAGAACAATGGGATGCAACCATGTGGCAAAGGACATTGACCAACCCCCACACCAATACACAAACAGTACATCCCATAATAGTTCACTGGACAGGGAGACACAGCACAATGGGGGGTAGCACATGGTAATAGACAAAGGAACACACACTATACACAATACTGGGACATTCACATACACACCCTGTAACCCTTAACAGGCACAGGGTGGGTTAAACATAATGATTTGGGGAGATGATACAGAGGTCCCCCCACCCCCAAAAGTCACTCCCGTCACATATCTCCCCTTTCGGCAGGAGAGTAACGCAGGAGTAGATCCCAGACGGATGTACTCTGAAGTTACTCTGCACCTCCAGTCTCTCAATGCCAGCACCCTCACAGTACCCCATGCAAATTGTCCCACACCAAGCGTTACTCACCCAGCCAACCTCTGCCTCTCCCCCGTAGAACATACCCGCCGCTGCGGAGAAGTACGGACTAGTCCTTCTCCCGGAATCCTCTCAGCCGCTGGGGAGAAGACAGGGTGGCTGGGCCGCCTTCATCCTTCTGTGGGGGATCTGGGCCGACTGCCCAGCATCCCTGGGGTATCCAGGTGGTGGTGTAGTTGCTAGGCAGAGGCCAGCGGCGCTCTGCCCTGTTGCCAGAACTTCTGCTGGGGACCCCACATCTGCTCCGGCTAACTGTAGGGGAGGGAGGCCGGCTTCCTCCCCTCCCAGACTGTGGATCTGCTGCTGGGATGGAATTCCTCTGTCACTGTCCCCCACCTGGTGCACAGATCATTAAAATCTTGTTCTGATATTCAAGTTTGAATGACTGGGGAAAAGAGTTTCACTGCCACTTTGGCTGACTGTTGGGGGAGAGAGGTATTCAACAACCTACCGTCTCTGCTGAGCAATCACCCTGGGCCTCTGCAAGGGCACATGGTGTGGGGCAGTAAGGATCCTGTAGGATTCCTTCTCAAACAAATTAGTTGTTCAGCTTTAAAGCCCACGTTCAACTGGCAGCTTTGTTTTGGAAAAAGTGTGAAAGAGTTATCCTTTTCAGATTTGTGTTACTTGTCAGGTCCCCATTAAGGGGATTTCCCCCCACATCTCTAGTCACAGTGGCTAAGCAGAATGGGGCAAATGGCTGTGGCCCCTGAGTCTCAGTGACCCCCGTTCACTTTTCTTGTAGTGGTGACTCTCTCTCAAAGAGTCCAGGTAGCAACAAAAATCTAGAAGGATTTTTAGATCCTTTTTAACCCTTCCTTATCAAAAAATAATAATTTTTTTTCTGACAGAAGATGCATTTGTCTACAGAAGCCTTTCTAAATCTTTTTTTACCACAGGAAACCCTTTAAATATTTGTGAGAACTCTAGTTAAAGTGGAACTTCACTCTCCCAATCAACATATGCCAATCATACTGTTAGCATGTAAATAGATAGGGAAGTACTGCATATCATATTTACACATTTTAAACTGTGGTTTACATTATCTTCAGTCTTCCTGGTTTCCATGCTAGGAAACTTGTCACACCCCAGAAGCCTTCAGAGGGAGGGTTTGGCTCAGCCAATGTGTTTACAAGGAAATATGGATTCCATGAAGTAATTCATTAATCATCTGCCCTTACTCAAGATGGCCACTGCAAATTACCGGGGGGGGGGGTGTAACGGAACCGGAACCCAGACCGCACTGAGTTTTTCCGTTATAGCACAACTTCCCCTGTCCGAACACCATCCACGGACCACACCTTCGAAATCCCTCAGGAAAAAAAAGACAACACCCAGCTCCTACTAAAACAGGAAGTCAACTAACTTTATTGTACACAAAACATGTTTTATACAGAGGGCGGGGAAAGACAACCAGGGACAGGAAATACATCATCAGCCCACCCTATCAGTGGGAAGGGCTACAGTATAGGCAGGAAACACCTCATCACCCCTCCCCATCCAACCAGACACAGAACAATGGGATGCAACCATGTGGCAAAGGACATTGACCAACCCCCACACCAATACACAAACAGTACATCCCATAATAGTTCACTGGACAGGGAGACACAGCACAATGGGGGGTAGCACATGGTAATAGACAAAGGAACACACACTATACACAATACTGGGACATTCACATACACACCCTGTAACCCTTAACAGGCACAGGGTGGGTTAAACATAATGATTTGGGGAGATGATACAGAGGTCCCCCCACCCCCAAAAGTCACTCCCGTCACAGGGGGTTCAAAATTAATTCTCAGAAAAATAAAGCATGGAGACATTGATGGATGGATGAGTTTGCTTTGAATATTAACAATGAATTAAATTGTATTTTTGGTTTGTGGTGCTCAGATGCAGTGCAGTTCCACTTAAAGTCAATCATATCTACAGTTTGCAGTTGTACAAAGTTGTACAGTGATTTAAATATGGGAATAATAATTTAGCATGCCTAGCATAATTGACACAATGGACCTGCTCTTTACAACAACATTTTAGTAGTAATTAGTAGTAATCTTGAAATAATAATAGTAACAGAAAAGAAATGCAGACAATATAAATTTTCTGCGTACCTTAACATTGGTAGTCAAGTAGAGGTGCCCTCATGAATTTTTGGTCAGTGTAGGAAGGACATCAATTCACAATTGCTCACTGCTCAAAGAACACCTAGCTACCTAAGGCATGACATAGATTATGCAATTTTCTTATCTGAAACCAGTAGCAGGAAAGAAAATCACTGGATTCCCTCGTCAACACAGTCAGTGTTGATGGGGTAATGCCTCCCATGGAGCTATTGTGTTCTGGTGGGGGGCCTCTGGGAGCTGCCCTTGGGAGGACACAGTGTGATTACTGCTAGCAGCTATAACTGCTGCCAAAATCTCATGCTAAATATCTAACATGCTGGTTGTAAACAAATCGATCAATGAATCAACTTGGGCACAATCAGACTGCCCATAGATAGATCAAATCTTGCGCAGTCCCTGTTAAATTGACCGGGAATCGATGCACCTATGGCCAGCATTAGGAGGAACCCTAGGGTTTCACGGTACAATGGTTGAAGAAGGATGGTCTACAGTTATCTGCAGTTTCTAATGCAAAACCTGAAACCCTCCACCATTACAGTAAACCTGGTTATTACTGACCTTCTGTATGGTAATATATGTATAGGAGGTAATATCCAATATTTTTGAAGAGAAAGCTTTCATTGACTTTTTTGCTTCCTACCAGATGGTACCAGACAAGTGTCTTTGGATGATTCCTTTTTTTCTGCATCTGGATGTTCCTTTCTTAAAGCTGAAGAAGTCTTGATATCTGTACATATACCATACTCAAAGAAGGTATGTTAAATAAACCTTTTAGTATTCTTACAGATTATTGCAGAAGTTCAGTATATTTTATGAAGTAGTTCAAAAATCAATTATGATGATAAAGTGCCGATAATCAAATAATGGTTTTCTGTATTTAGACTGGTGAAAAATAAATCATTGTTGCTTACTTAAAACTGAACTCTGGCACTATAGTTGGCAAGTGCCAGAGACAAGAAAAAGGCTGCCTAGTCAGGATTATCACCCAAAATGAATTAGGGCTTAAAGCAGAGCTCCAGTCAAATCTAAAAAAAATAAACAAAAGTCAGCAGCTACAAAAACTGTAGCTGCTGACCTTTAGAAAACAGCCACTCACATATCCCATGATCCAGGTACATCCACGATGTACACACTGCAGCCGGTTTCACCAACTGTCCTCACTCTCTAGAATCTTAAAGCGGTAGTAAACCGCATTAAAAAAAAAAAAACCCATCCCTGCAAGGCAATGGCACAATGTGCTAGTATGCATCGCATGCTAGCATATTATGTAAAACTTGCCTTAAAACAAAGCCCTCCAGTGGCTCGCTGTCACCGCTGTAAAGGCTTCCATCTTCACCCGGTCTTCCTTCTGAGTTCGCGAGCTCTGGCCTCCTGACTGGTTGGCGATTATGTCACTCTCGCACATGCGCACGTGAGTCATGGGCCATGGCACAGTGCTCTGAATGAATGGCACGGCATAAGTATTATAATAGTTAATAGGATTATGGAGGTATAATAATGATAGGTATTAGTTTAGGGGTCTCTGAAGTCATTGATACATTGATATATAATTTTTCCCATATACAGTTTTTTAGTACATGAACACTTTATCTCCCCCCTCTTTTAAAGATTTATTTATACTTATTAGATGTCACCTTATCATTTTAATCTTATACTTTATAGATTATGTATTTAAACATTTTATGTATTTATTTATCTATTCATTGTTTTTTTTTGGGCGTAATTGTGTTTTGCATGCAACATATTTATTCTGAGCCACATGATATCGACTGTAAGTGTGATGAAGATAGTATCTTTATCTTATGTTCAAAATTTCCTCAAATTGGTCCCTTAATATTGGAATTTTTATCATTGGCTGTAGTTATCCAATATCATTCAACCTGTACTTTGGTTACAATCCTCTAAATGGCAGTGCATTAACTAACAGCTGGTAATCATAACAAGAGATAGTATTGAGCAATGAGACATATATACAACTTGCGCATCTCACCTAGCTACCCCTGATGAAGTCACGTGTCCGTGACGATACGCATTGGGAGGAGCCAGGTCATGCGAGATTTGGAGAACCTGAAGTGCGGCGGGACGCTGTGTGTTTGTGGTCCAAATCGCTTATCATTGTTTGCCATGCAAATTACTTCTTTTAAATGTGAGTGCAATAATTTTAATAAATACTATTTGTGGTTTTAACTACAACACTATGGTGGCCCTTTATGTGTTGTAAATTCGATCCACAGAGCTCATGCGGTGGGTACAGTGGAGGCATTTTTGTTGGCTGCAAGAGGAAAACCAGCACCAGTGAGAGGATTATAGTAGCCCCATCTGTAGGGGAAACGTGCTGTATGAGGATTATAGTAACCCCCATATGAAGGGGAAACATGCTGTGTGACCTATTATAGCATTTATGTCAATATTTGAAGGTGAGGGTCCACCTTGAAATCACATTTGCAGTGGTGCACATTGCTTTATAAACATTTACAGCACTGGGGCAGTGGGATCACTCACCAGTAGGATAGTCTGTGACGATTTATATTGGAGTGGAAGAGATATTATGGATCACATTAGATGCTAAAGAGACTTTACAGATATTTAACACAAAAAACAGCGCAAAAATTCAATAAATAAAAATAATCACAAATAAATGTCCGTGCAAAAATATATATATAATATTTCAAACATAAGTCCTTATTTTCCCAAAAGGATTTTCAAAACAATGTTCCAAAATGTGCTTCCACCTAATCACCACGTGAAAAATAATATTGACCGCACTCACCAGATGGAGGTGAGTAATAAGCCTCATAGGATATAAGGGATCCTATAGCCCCTCAGGAGGAACTCAAATCGCCTTCACCCTGCTTAGATACAGCAATCGACTCCACTCTACTTCTCCATGGAATCCTCAATAATGTGCAAGGAAAGAAAGGCTACATAGTGTAATACTGCCACTCAATACCATATAAATCCATAGAATAAGGACACTTGCATGTTTCAATAAAATAACAGGCCTTGTTTAATAGCCTCAAAGGCTTCAAAGGAACAAGTTTCCAAATTGTAAATATAGGGATCTCACGCTTTAAGGATCACTGTAGAGGATGACCAGCTTTTCCACCTCAAAAATGGCTGCTTGAGATTAGGTGGAAGCACATTTTGGAACATTGTTTTGAAAATCCTTTTGGGAAAATAAGGACTTATGTTTGAAATATTATATATATATTTTTGCACGGACATTTATTTATTTGTGATTATTTTTATTTATTTAATTTTTGTGCTGTTTTTTGTGTTATTTATTATTGGTGGTTTTCACTGGTGCACAGCTGCATAATTGTATACTTTCTTTGATTGGCGCTGGGATTTTTTTAGTGTACTTTACAGATATCAGCTTATTACTTTGTTCACATGAATATATAATTTTGATTTCACTTTATATTTTTATGATGGGTTAAGATGGTTTAAATAATTTTATTTGAGCAGTGCAACACTTGCATTATATTTGTTTTATTGCTTTGAATGTGATGAACACACATGATCGCAGCAGCTTTAGCACTTTACATTTGTATATTGTTCGGTTAAGGAGTTACAATTAGTGGTAGCGCACAATTATTATTTAATATTACATCTCTGAATATACCTGTCTGAGGTGACAGTGTGTGTACAGACATTTATTTTTCATATTTGTTATTGCTAAGATTATTAGCTTCTGCCTTCTCAATCAAAAGGTGGTGGTGGTAGCTTAAAGAGTTAAATTATAAAAATTGCATTTGGGTACAGTGTTGCATGACCATGCAACTGTCATTCAAAGTGCGATAGCGCTGAAAGCTTAAAATTGGCCTGGGCAGGAAGGGGGTGAAAGTGCCATGTAGGCAAGTGGTTAATTAACTTAAGCCAGTGACAATCACTCTCAGGCTGCTGGCACCTAGATTGTGACCCCGCAAGCTGAAAAATCTATGTGCAGCTGAGAGTGGCATTGTTACGTAAGTGACAGTGTGGTGTGAGATTGGCTGGTCCTTTGTCATAAGATGGTGAGAAGGGCAGGGGTTGGGCAATGCGTGTGTTACACTCACCTCTTGGGTGGGCAGTATCATTAGTTGCAGTAAGAGCCTGCTGCTTATGCTTCAGGAGTGACTCCCTGAAATAGACTCATTCCCTAAAGTGCTGGATCATATTGTCCATTTTGTGGTACTGTAGTATCAGGTTTGAAGTATTTGGTTTTGAAGTATTTGTGCAAAGAGAATTCCCCTTACCAGAGATACAGAAGGTATTCCTGTGCTTGGAGGAGGGTATTCCTGTCGGTGGATTTGTGGTACAAACCAGTTTCCAAAGTGGTTTGATCATATGAGGTAACTTTGTAAATATTTAAATCCAGGAAGTTAATACCAGAGGTGGAAAAGCATGAACTCTCTATATCAAGTCCTGAATGGTTCTAGCCCACAAAAAGAGCAGGTCATCAATATAACACTGGTAATATAGAACATGAGAGGACAACAGAGGCAATAAAAGACCTTGTTCAAAGTACTACATAAAGATGTTTGCAAAGGTAGGTGCCACATTTGAGCCCATGGCTGTCCCAGCAAATTGTAAATCAAATTTCAAGAAGGGGGGAAAAAAGGGGCAAAGGAAATCCAGGGAGTCCATCAAAATTCAATAAAAGGTGAGGTGCCTCCAGAACTATCTGGTAGGACGCTGCCTAATACATACAAATAGAAAAACCAAAGAAAAAGAAAATAGACTACACACCTAATAGGCTAACCTCAAAAACATCTTTATTGCTGGAAAACATACAAAGTAAAAACACATTGCATAGGGGACCTTGATACCACTCCTGACTGTGAAAACCCCCACCCTTGACATGAGAGGGACCTCCCACAGTGGGCACTCTATCGATGGTACCAAAGAGTGTCCAAAGTGTCTCAGTATGTACACAGCACCTGCACCTTCCCTAAAAGCCAACTCGCCTCCCCCAACACCACAACCACCTCTCAACAAATTTCCCTTACTTAACATGCCGGTACTTGGACCTGAAGCCCATTGAAGAACCTGCTTGCGTGAGGATGGTTTTTGATTCCTGGACAGGTACATTTCCTTATATTAATAGTCAGCAGCTAAAGTATCTGTAGCTACTTACTTTTAATTTTTTGGGGGGAGACTGGAGTGCCTCTTTAAGTTATATCCTAGATCCTGAAGCCTGGAGGCTTTGTAGAGCTTTGGGTGGGAAAAACATCCATTCCTAAGAGCACTTACCCAGCAGCCAGACCTCATTTAATAGTCTCAGCTGTCTTTATACCTTTATATACTGTATATGTGATCTGACTTATGTGCAGAGCTCTATCACTGTCTGTGTTGTGAGAACCTGCTGTTTGGTGAGTAGGCTACCTGCTGTCGAAACATTAAAAAGATACATGTGCTACCGGTTTCTTAGGGAACCTTTAGAAGGGACCTTGTTAGTCAGAAACTGTCATATACTATATCCTAAAATGTTAATTTCTATCACACAATATATATTAATATTTTGGCTTCTGTCACAAAAAGTGTCATCTTTAGGCACATGACTCAAGCAAATTTTTTTTCTAAAAGATACATGACAAAATATGCTATTAACCGATATGCTTAAAAATAATTATTCTTTAGTAAATCTTGGCAAACACCAGGTTAAATTAGTTATAGCCCAACTTCAAGATATAAGCAACCCACCCCCCCCCCCCCCTTTCCCATCTAACTAACCTCTATTATAAAAAAAATATCCAAAAGCCCATTTTATTTCAAGTGTTACTAAACCCAGGACTCTGTATTCACTATATCTGGTCTACCACAGTACACACAACATGGAAATGCAATTATTTTAGTAAATATAAACTGCTAACTACCTTTTCTCATTAGCAGTTAGAGCAGTCTTGTGACTTTTATCAGCAGGGCACTGGTTAAAGGTTGTAGGAGGAGTTTTCTGTCTGCTCTAAGAGGATACAAAACCCCTGACCTCTGTCTGGACAGTGTTGATTGACCCTGTGCTGATCACATGCACTCTCCCAAGAAAACAAAAAACCTCTTTAGCAATACACACTAAACTGAGAATGTGCAGAATGGCTATGGGTTCATCAAGGTTATCAGGAGATAAGATGTGGACATTTTGAACAAGAGGAGGAGCAGAGAAGACGGGATCAAACGGCCTTTTTACACAATGCAGAGGATTAACCCCTTAGGTTCCACAGTTTGTATAACAAGCATGCTTTATTGCATATACAGACTGAGTTTACTGTTGTGGGTTTAGTAACACTTTAAAGTGAAAATGCTAACCTCCACCTTCTAGCAGTATGATGATTACATCCTTTGTCACCCACCATTATCCTCTCCCTGGGTTACTTCCCAATGCTGGAAATTTCAGACTCTTGATTGGCCAGTGTAGGATGACATCATCCCACGCATGTGCACAGCAGTCAGTCATTCCGACATAGCCAGAGTGTTGTGGGAATGCATGCTGAGCTGCATTTGTGCAGCACAGTGTTCATTCAATAAAGGATTGCATGCAGGCAAGTGTGTTTTATTAAAAAAGTAACATAGCATGTCTCTTCTGCAATAAAAAGCTGCCCGCTTGCAGTTTTTGGCAAGTTAGTTATTGTTCAGCCTTATCTGAAGCCATGGTCACACGATGATCCTCCTTTCTTCTTCAGTTTACTTTCTTCAGATGTCCACATCACTGCCTGCTTGGTTTTTAGTACAGTGGCAGTCATGCAAATTTTTTTTCCTGTTCGTATCTCACAGTACAGCAGCTGTGGATTGTGCACCTGTCAAGCTGCTGAGATGGACTCCTAATTGGGTTGTAGCACTTTTTTGTTTTTTTCTGGTGTTCAAACATTTCCAGTGGCCAGTTCCTCTCTTATAGGCTCCAGAGGCAGAAAAACGTACGGGAGTGGCAAGGGGACCCTTGCCCAAGAAGATAACGAGCAGGGAAAAATGTCTGGTCCCCAGTTTTACTCATAGAGGAAACTATAACTGATGCATTACATTGCAGGATGGCTTTGGAAGGGGTGTTTGGGAGTAAGGTAACTGATGCACAATGCACTATTTTAATGTATTTTTTTCCTGGAGTTGGGCTTTACATTAAATAGGGAGCCTTAGCCTTTTCAGCCTATTACCCATATTTAAATATAACAAGTCTTTGTGATCTACAATAAGTATAAACAATGTTTAAATGCAATTGCATAAATTAGGTAGCCTACAGTAGATTTAGTAGATGTCAACAAGGGCGTCCCTAGGGTTGGTGTCACCCGGTGCGATATCACTTGGTGACACCCTCTCCGACAATCCCTGCAGGATGGTTCGGATCTGCGGATTGAGTATAATGGATCAGAGTCCGATCCATTATGCTCCCCAATCCGCAGATCCGATCCATGCGTTGGTTGGCTTGCTTTACAACTTACCTTTTCGTGGAGCGGGTCTGGTGTCACCCCGTGAGGTAGGTGTCACCCGGTACGGGCCGCACCCCCCGCACCTGCTTCGTGATGCCACTGGATGTCAATACTCCAAGTAGCATGCAGCACCGAGAAAGCATTGTACAGCAAAACTACAATAAGCTGAATTCAGTTGGGTACAGTATGTTGCAGCACAACATTTTGTTTGTGTGACATTAATGCTCTTATGGTCCTTTAATCCTTACATTCATTGGTGTGAAACAGAAGTAGCTCAGATTAGTAATTATATCTATCCATTGCCAATGATGATGAATAAAATACATGGTGTAAATGATCCTATTCTGATTCTTGTTCATGTTCACAGGGAGATCATTTATCGGCATTGAGACAAGCTCAGCGTAGGGAGAATGCACTGCCCATTGTCACAGCTGGAATGAAAGTTCGGTTTGAAGAAGGCATAGACATTATTAAAGACATTTGTATATTCTACGGGGGAGTTGGAGCCAGCACAGTGTGTGCAAAAGCTACTAGTAAAGCGCTGATTGGAAAGTAAGCCAATAATAAAAATATTAAAAATATAATTGTTTCTTCATACTAAAATGCTAAACAGTGGCATAGTGGTTAGCACATCTGCATTGCAGCACTAGGGTCCTTGGTTAAAATCCCAATCATGACATTACCTGCATGAAGTTTGCGTTTTCTCCCTATACTTGCATTGGTTTCCTCCGGGTACTCTATTCTCCTACACAAGGACATGCTGGTAGATTAATTGGTTCCTGTTCAAACTGGCCAAAGAATGTGTATATTTGCATATGAGGGTGGGATGTTAAATTGTAAGCTACTTGAGGGTAGAAACTTATTTGAATATACAATGTGTGCAAAACACTACATAAATTGTTGGTGCTTTTTAAATACCTGTAATGAATAAATAAAAAGTCTAGAATATATATTTATTTTACCCTGGGAACTCCAAAATAAGGCTTTGAACTTGCAGACTGTGAAAATAGATGTAAGGATAACCATATGATTTTTGTCAGCCATCCAGCTGAGCTAGTGTCTGGATTGGGGTGTTGTCCATATGAATATTTAAACGTGTTAGATCTGAACATGTACAATTTCATATCCACTGGATCAGACAAGTATTGTGTGTCGACAATAGAAGTGGTGGCAAAGTGACCATATATGGATAGCGGCCTTCATCCTGTGCCCGAGTTTTTCATCCAGCTCTATTCATACTACACATAATGGACACTTAGTTGAGTTAATTTGATGAAGTGTTACATACATATATCAATATATATATCAACTATTAGCAGGGTTTAGGAATCTGGTGTATAGGTCTAAAATTGTCTAATCTGTCAACTAACAGGCCCACGAATGGGTTCAGTTTGAGTACATGATGTTCAAGCTAGATGATATCTCCTAGCTTAATAATGCTAATGTAAGAGATACTGTAAATACCATTTTTACTTTTTAGGCACTGGAATGAGGGTATGCTAGGTGAGGCCTGCCGACTAATTCTTGATGAGGTTTCTCTGCCACCTTCAGCTCCTGGTGGGATGGTGGAATACAAGAGAACATTGACGATCAGCTTCTTTTTCAAGTTCTACCTGGAGGTGTTGCAGGCCCTGAACCAGCTGGTGGGTTTATAAAGAATGCACAAAGAGATTCACTTTCACTGTCAGATACCTCTACTTAGATCATTGTTACCTTTTTTTCCAGGATCCTAGTAATCCAGATATCAGTGCTATAAAGCAGTTGAAGTCTTCAACTGTGGAACACACCCAGACCTATCAGGTAAAAAAAAAAAATATAATTAATTATATTGCAGAAACAACTTCAATCTAATAGTATAGGAAAAAGAAATGGTGGGAACAAAGAAGTGTCACTAATTGTAGCTTGTGGGCAAAATGTGTGGAATCCATCTTTTAGCTGATATTGATACCTTGTGCATGGATATCAGTCGCAAACAGAGCTTAATGTACTGACCACTGTGAGAGGGATTCTGCTTTTGATCATCCCAGTCATGGATAGGACCCAGTGAGTACAGGTCTGTTGCTGCTGAACCCAGCATGTCCTGTATAGCTAAATCGCTCAATTGTAGGTATGAAATTGGCTATAGGTCAATCTTAGTGATGTTTCTTCTGGGTCTCTTTCTTTTCTTGCTGCCTTTCTTACATTTAATACATAAACACTGGAGATAGGAGTTGTTTGCTGTATAGATCTTAAAGTGTTTCAAGGACTTGTAGGTGTTTTGATGGGCTGAGGTTTCTTTTGTGTTATCTTTTTGTGTGGAAATTTGCCTGAACAGAATTTCTATAGCAAGCAAAACAGTCAATTTAGTGTAAAGTGTATTTTTCTGACTTCCTAGAGTTTCACTAGAGTGAAACTTCCTAGAGTTTCACTTTAAGACCGTACTTCAAATTGTACACTTGTGTGTGTTTGTGTATGCAAGAACATTCTAAAACATTTTCTATAAAGCATAAGCATAATCTGGGTTTTACATAAGTGTACCTATACTTCATCATATCAAATATCTCTGCAACAATATACAGGTGCAATAAAGACATTGCAATCCTTTGAAATACCAAAACCTTTAAGATTTAGCTGTTTATTGTCAAAGGGAGCCGTTTGTGAGCCTCTATTAAAAAATCTACTAAAATAAAAATCATTGGGCTAATTGTGTATTGAACAGGTCTACAAAATTGGTTAAAACTTTTGACAATGTACAGTATATGTTTTTATCACAGCAGGATGGCCTACTGAATATACACAAAAGCCATTTAGTTTATCAAAATACAGACACTGCTTTTTTGTCATGTGATTTATCAAATCCCACTTATGAAACCTAGTGTTCGGAAGGAGTGTTAGGCCACTGGAGAGCATTGGAGGGTGTTGCCCTGTGTGAGGGAGCCATGGCCTGACTTACCTGTGTGCTATCAGCCAGGGTATTACTGTATTTGGAGCCTGCCTGCATTACAGTAACAAATAGCAAATGTTCAGTTAGGCTTCAACATTGTGTAAATTGACACATGAATTCATTCTACTAGAATGTCCCTGAAGATCAGCCTTCCCAGGACCCTGTCGGAAGACCCCTTGTGCATCGTTCCGGAATCAAGCAGGCCACAGGAGAGGCAGTTTACACAGATGACATGCCATGTGTGGATGGAGAGCTCTTTGTGAGATTTGTCACCAGCTCCAGAGCACATGCAAAAATCATGTAAGTCAGATGACAGTAGACATAATTAGAAATTGACTCCTAATATTTAGAAAATCTAAGGTCTTGATATCTTCTCATCTCATGTGTCTTAAATGCTGTTGTATAAAAAAAATGCAATAATGAAATTACTAGTGGTTATCACATTATTAAATGTTTCTTCTTTTCTCTTCTTCCATTTGATATAATTCTGTATTTTAGCTGAATAAACTACCTAATAATATAAGATAGTGGTTTCACTTTTTCATAAAGTGAAAACACTTTTTTCATACATGTTTTTTTATAAAATACTTTGTATGCTGTCTGGGTCTCTGTTACTTTAGATCTATGGATTTTTCCGAAGCTCTCGCCCTACCAGGAGTAGCTACTGTTGTAACAGCGGATGATGTTCCTGGTACCAATGAGTGTTCTCATCAGGGTGTATCAACACCTCTACTGGCGCAGGGCAAGGTATAAAAGGATTGAAGTTTTTAAATGTCATATATATGACTATAGTTATGTTTACCTTTTTTTTCCATGCTTGTTAATCTGTGTGCCCCCTGGAACTTCATTTATACTTCTTCACTCAGAAGATACATTCCAGCTATCTGGCTGCCTTAGAGGATGTAAAGTCCTGAACATACAGGGAATGTCCAGAGATGTTTTATTAAAGATAACATACCAAAATAAATATAGAGGCTGTCAATGATGGTCTTCTGATAATGCTTGTTGCCTGGTTGTCTTATAGGTGCTTTCTAAGTCAATGGCCCAGAACATGCAGATCAAAAAGTCAGAGTGACATCAAAGCCCCTGATCTGCATTGTTCTAGGTCAATAAATCAATGTATTTTTTGGAGAGAGGCTACCAATGGAAGTCTTTTTATTTCTGTGATTACTATTTCTTTTTTTCTTTTCAAATCTTTTTTATACATTTTTCGTAACACAGATAAAATAACAATAACAAAGATAATTCAAAGCAGAAAGTAAACATAGGCATGTCTCAGCTCCATGGCGCTAGTATGCTCATAGATCTAGCAAATCATTTATAGAATGGCCTTTAGGCCTGCAAGTATATATACAGAGAAATCCTTCAATATTTGCAATATCAGTTATCAAATATCTGGCTAATAGACCCTTGTGGCTTATATTGCATACATAGTGCTAACTATAGACATACAAAAACGCAATAAGAAAAAGTAGGAGGAGTGAGCAAAGAAAAAAGGAAAATGATAGAGAGAAGTAAGACTAGAACACAGATGCACCAAAGTAACAGCATAGGATACAAGACCGTATAATCATATAATCATATTCTGTGGTATAAACCTTTCTGTCCAACTGGACCATTGCATCTCAAATTTTCCTGTGTGTTGGCAATGAAGAGCCACAGCTCTTTCGCAGATGTAATTTGAGTTAACTCTATGGATCACTTCCAGAATAGAGGGGATCCTCACCGACCTCCATGCTGCGGTGATGGACATTCTGGCTGCGATAAGTATGTGGCCTACAATCGTTCTAAACTTCACTGGGTATAGGTGTAAGGTGATATTGAGTAGCGCAAGGTGGGATGCTGGGCTGGTTGTCATTCCAGACAACTGTGAAATAAGCGCAAAGACCTCTTGCCAAAACTTTTGTGTGTGAGGACACGCCCATAAAATATGAAGAAGGTTGCCTTCTTCTCCACAGTTCCTCCAGCACAAAAGGAACACATTAGGGTAAATTTTAGCAAGTCGATAAGGAGTAAGATAGCTGCGGTGTAATATTTTAAGAGAGCAGTTCCAATGATTTGATAAGGTATTGTTCAGGGTAGCCTCCCATTCGTCTTTAGTAAATGACCTTCATAGGTCCGTTTCCCATTTCTCTATACTGTGTATAGGAATGGGGTCGCTATCATATTGTAAATAATTGTAAAACCAGGAAATCCCTTTTTTCTGATGAATAGTGACAACCTGACATAATTTGGAGTCGATTTCGATCCATGTCTTCGGGTTACTCTTATGAAAACCTCTACTCTGTAGGAGAGGGCGTAGACCTCCACTATGGAGAGTGTTTTCTATATTGGTAAAGTATTGTAGCCTAGGTCTTGTAAAGGTTTGGTGTTAAGGTTAGGAATAAAGAATTCATACGCTGAAAGTGGTATATCAATATGAATCCCAGGGGAGGAGGAGTTTAGTTTATGTATGCCGAACATCCGCGCCTCAAGGGATGCGGCGATGGATGGAAGAAACGTATTAAGGAGTTTGGATTTGGCAGATTTAGCTATCAGTAAAGCCCTAAGATTCCTGTTGGGAACTACCGATTTCTCTATTTGTACCCATAATTTGTCTGAATTGGTGAGCCATTCCAGAAGTTGATCCAAAATAGCGGCATAGTAATACGTGGCTAACACTGGTAAACCTTTCCCCCCTTTAGATTTATGTTTGGTAAGAGCCAAGAATGAAATTCTCAGTTTCTTCCCCTACCATACATAGGTTCTAATTGCTGCTTCAAGTTTATTAAAATAAGCATTAGATATAACAATTGGAATCGTTTGAAAGTAGTACAATATTTTGGGAAGGATCAACATTTTAAAGGCCGCTATTCTACCTATCCAGGACATTTCAAAATTAACTAGTCTCTGTAACTCCAAGAGGACTGACTGGTATAATTTTTCGTAGTTATCTTTAAATGTGTTAGCAGTTGGAGATGATATACAGATGCCTAAGTAATCTAGTTTCTTATGGGTCCAACTATAGGGGAATTTAGCTTTGAGCTCTTTTAAAAGGGCTTGAGGTATGGCTATCGGTAGGGCGCATGATTTTGTAATATTAAGTTTATAATAGGAGACTGCACTAAAAGATTGCAGGGAAGATGAGATTTCTGTGAGGGACTTCATGGGAATAGTGACAGTAAGTATAACATCTTCAGCAAATAGACCAATTTTATGGGAGGTATCCGCCGCCTTGATTCCTGTTATCTGTGGATTGTCTCTTGTTGCAGTTGCTAATGGTTCCATCACTAAGGAAAAAATAATGGGAGACAATGGACAGCCCTGCCTTGTGCCGTTTGTAATACTGAAAGGTTGCGAAAGGGTATTAGACGTAAATACCTGTGCGGTGGGGAACGGTATATAACACCATAATAGCCGATTTTATATAGCCACTTATACCAAATTTATTTAGAGTGGCTTCCCAAATATTGCCAATGGACCCTATCAAATGCTTTCTCGGAATCTAAAGCCAAGAACACCGCCTACGTCCCACGCGATTCACCTAAGTGCATCAAGTACTCTACGTGTGCCATCCGATGCCTGTCTGCCTTTGACAAAGCCCACTTGGTCAGCCTGAATCAAGAAGAGTTATACTAAGGAGGCGGGTCACTATAATTTTGGTGTATATTTTGAGATCAGTATTTAGTAGAGAAATGGGTCTGAAATTTTGAGGTCGATCCAGAGTTTCCCCGGTTTAGGTAAAGTGACAATGATAGCTTTTGGCATTTCTGGCGGAAAAGTAGACTTATAAGCATAGCTTCATCGAAAGTACGTTTGAGGTGGGGTACTAATATGGATTGGAATTCCTTATAGTATTCATTTGAAAAACCGTCAGCTCCCAGTGATTTCCCTTTTGGTAATGCTGTAATAGCCGCTTTGATTTCACTTTCTAAGAAGGGTTGGTTAAGAAGTTTTTGATGATCTAGAGAGGGTAAAGATAACTTATGCAAAAATTGACTGATCAAGTCTGGTGCAGGTTGGGGAGTGGAAGGGTCATCTTTAAGATTGTATAATTGGAAATAATAGGATCTAAATGCAGCTGCTATTTTGTTAGGATGATAAGTGAGTGTATTAGATACGCAGTCCAAAAGTGAGGATATTTTGGATTTGGTCTGTCTAGATGCTAGGAATTTAGCTAACATTTTGCCTGCTTTATTCCCTTGTGTATAAAATTTAGCTTTAGCTTTTTTCAAGTTTTGACCATGACGCCCTAGAAGTAAATTACGAAGTGTAAGTCTAGTCGTTTGAGTTCCTGAAAGATTTCAGGGGATAGAGTTTGTTTGTGTGTATGTTCGAGTCTAGCTATTTTACCAATTGTGTCAGAAAAGGTTTGGTTGCGATTATGTATAGCTTGTGAAGCCAACTTCAATATAAAGCCCTCTACAGTACGCTTTATGAGCACACCATATAGTAGATGCAGATGTATCATGAGATGAATTGAGAGCAAAGTACTCCTCTAAGGCTGTAGTAATAACAGGGCGAGATGCAGAGTTACAAAACATAGAGATATCATTTCGCCATAAAAATACTGGGGAATACTTCAGAAAGAATCGGACCTGATGTATATTGGGGGTGTAGATTCACAATGGTATAAGCAATATTGTTGATCTCACATGCAATGATGAGGTAATCTACCCCTACTATCCGACACTTGAGATTGTAAGGAGAAGGTGACAGAGTCCTCGGATGGCAATGAGAACACCGCACTTCTTAGCAGGGCCATTAGATGTAAAAATATGTGGGAACATACGATTTGAGCAGCGTGGTGCTTTAGAGATGAGAAGTGCGTTTCCTTGAACACCAAATCACATCGCCACGCAGCCTTTGAGCTTCTTTCCACATCATTTGGGCGTTTGAAAGGGCTATTAAGGCAGTGTGCATTCAAAGATAAAATCTTTAAAACCATGGGAAGGCTTGGTTTATGAGTAGAGATGAGCGAATCGAAGTAGGCGAAGTGGAATTCGTTTCGAATATTGGAAAATTTCGGACGCGCGAATCGAAATTTTTCCTAAAATGGGCGGCGACATGTGCGGCGACGGAGCGGGGATGTCTGGGAAGGCGCGCAGACAAGGCGCCGCTGACCCATAATGCCATTCCTTAATGACATGTGATCGCATTAGCCAATCAGCAGCCAGCCAGCCAGCACTGTGTAATGGTCGAGCTAATAAATGGCGGCCATTTTAGAATTCTTCATTTGCCTCCAGTCATTCAAGAGAGGCAGACCGCTCTGTATTAGGGACAGAGTTAGGGCCACAGAAACGTTACTTGGGGACAGAGAAACGTTACTTAGGGACAGAGAAACGTTACTTAGGGACAGAGAAACATTACTCAGGGACACAGAATTGTTAGTGAGGGCCACAGAATCATTACTTAGGGCCACAGAAACGCTAGTTAGGGCCACAGAATTGTTACTCAGGGACAGACAGAATTGTTACTGAGGGCCACAGAATTGTTACTTAGGGCCACAGAATTGTTACTTAGGGCCACAGAATTGTTTACTTAAAGGGCCACAGAAACGTTACTCACGGCCACAGAATTGTTACTGGAGGGCCACAGAACTGTTACTATAGGGCCACAGAAACACGTTAGTTAGGGCCACAGAATTGTTTACTCAGGGACAGACACAGAATTGTTACTGAGGGCCACAGAATTGTTTACTTAGGGCCACAGAAACGTTTACTCAGGGACACAGAATTGTTACTGAGATCGCCACAGAACTGTTACTTAGGGCCACAGAAACGTTAGTTAGGGCCACAGAATTGTTACTCAGGGGGACAGACACAGAATAGTTTACTGAGGGCCACAGAACTGTTACTTAGGGCCACAGAATTGTTACTCAGGGACACAGAATTGTTACTGAGGGCCACAGAACCGTTACTTAGGGCCACAGAAACGTTACTCAGGACACAGAATTGTTACTGAGGGCCACAGAACCGTTACTTAGGGACCACAGATTGTGTACTCCAGGGACAGACACAGAATTGTTACTGAGGGACACAGAATTGTTACTGAGGCCACAGAACCGTTACTTAGGGCCACAGAATTGTTACTCAGGACAGACACAGAATTGTTACTCAGGGACACAGAATTGTTACTGAGGGCCACAGAACCGTTACTTAGGGCCACAGAAACGTTACTCAGGGACACAGAATTGTTACTGAGGGCCACAGAACCGTTACTTAGGGCCACAGAATTGTTACTCAGGACAGACACAGAATTGTTACTCAGGGACACAGAATTGTTACTGAGGGCCACAGAACCGTTACTTAGGGCCACAGAAACGTTACTCAGGGACACAGAATTGTTACTGAGGGCCACAGAACCGTTACTTAGGGCCACAGAATTGTTACTCAGGGACAGACACAAAATTGTTACTGAGGGCCACAGAATTGTTACTTAGGTGGGGCCCACAGAAACGTTACTCAGGGACACAGAATTGTTACTGAGGGCCACAGAACCGTTACTTAGGGCCACAGAATTGTTACTCAGGGACAGACACAGAATTGTTACTGAGGGCCACAGAATTGTTACTTAGGGCCACAGAAACGTTACTCAGGGACACAGAATTGTTACTGAGGGCCACAGAACCGTTACTTAGGGCCACAGAATTGTTACTCCAGGGACAGACACAGAATTGTTACTGAGGGCCACAGAATAGTTACTGAGGGCCACAGAAACGTTACTCAGGGACACAGAATTGTTACTGAGGGCCACAGAACCCGTTACTTAGGGCCACAGAATTGTTACTCAGGGACAGACACAGAATTGTTACTCAGGGACACAGAATTGTTACTGAGGCCACAGAACCGTTACTTAGGGCCACAGAAACGTTACTCAGGGACACAGAATTGTTACTGAGGGCCACAGAACCGTTACTTAGGGCCACAGAATTGTTACTCAGGGACAGACACAGAAATTCTTACTCAGGGACAGACACAGAATTGTTACTCAGGGACACAATTGTTACTGAGGGACACAGAATTGTTACTGAGGGACACAGAATTGTTACTCAGGGACACAGAATTGTTACTGAGGGACACAGAATTGTTACTGAGGGACACAGAATTGTTACTGAGGGCGACACAGAATTTTTACTGAGGGACACAGAATTGTTACTGAGGGACACAGAATTGTTACTGAGGGACACAGAATTGTTACTCAGGGACAGACACAGAATTGTTACTCAGGGACAGACAGAATTGTTACTGAGGGCCACCAGGAAATGTTACTGAGGGCCACAGAAACGTTACTCAGGGACACAGAATTGTTACTCAAGGACAGACACAGAATTGTTACTCAGGGACAGACACAGAATTGGTTACTGAGGGACACAGAATTGTTACTGAGGGACACAGAATTGTTACTGAGGGACACGGAATTGTTTACTGAGGGCCACAGAACTGTTACTTAGGGCCACAGAATTGTTACTGAGGGCCACAGAAATGTTTACTGAGGGCCACAGAAACGTTACTCAGGGACACAGAATTGTTACTCAAGGACAGACACAGAATTGTTACTCAGGGACAGACACAGAATTGTTACTGAGGGACACAGAATTGTTACTGAGGGACACAGAATTGTTACTGAGGGACACAGAATTGTTACTGAGGGCCACAGAACTGTTACTTAGGGCCACAGAACTGTTACTTAGGGCCACAGAAACGTTACTCAGGGACACAGAAATTGTTACTCAGGGACACAGAATCGTTAATTTAAAGAGTATGTCAGACAACATGCAGAGGAGTGGCAGAGGAGGCAATGTTTTAGGAGCGAGCAGACGTGGCAGCAGAGGAAGGGGTCGAGGCAGCACTATTCGCAGCCAGAGGCTAGTGATCCCGGTGTCATCCAGTACAGTGAGGAAGAGCTAACAGAGGCGGTCAGGAACGGGGGGAGACATCCGCCTCTTCAGCAGCCAGGCGAAGAAGTAGTGGCGAGGAGAGTGGCTCGGTAGCCGGTCTAGAGACAGGTCTGTCTCCTGACCCACACGCAGCCGAGGGGGCTAGTAGTGAGGCGGAGACCCTAATTGATGATGATGAGGCTGATCGCACTTGGCAGCCTCGTCGTCATCAGGCTATTGCTTCCGCATCATCAGGAGAAGAGGGTGGCAGCTTGGCAGCGAGCAAAACAGTCGGTGGGTTGTCTCCATTGCCACACTCTGCCATGGCCCACTTTCAGGTCTCCTCACACACTGCTGGTGTGTTTGAATTTTTTGACATAGGGTGCTGGCAGATTACGGGCCTCCCATAGCTGCTGCCAGGCTCCTAATCTGCCATGGGCCCCTGTACCGCCTCCTCATGCTGCTGCCAGGTCCACAGTCAATCATGCCATGTGCCACTTTCAGGTCTCCTCACACTGCTGGTGTGTTGAATTTTTTGACATAGGGTGCTGGCAGATTACGGGCCTCCCATAGCTGCTGCCAGGCCCCCTAATCTGCCATGGGCCCCTATACCGCCACTCCTCATGCTGCTGCCAAGTCCAGAGTCTGTCATGGGTCCCTGTACGGCCTCCCATTGCTGCTGTCTCCATCGCCACACTCTGCCATGTGCCACTTTCAGGTCTCCTCACACACTGCTGTTGTGTTCAATTTTTTGACATAGGGTGCTGGCAGATTACGGGCCTCCCATTAGCTGCTGCCAGGCTCCTAATCTGCCATGGGCCCCTATACCGCCTCCTCATGCTGCTGCCAGGTCCACAGTCTCTCATGCCATGTGCCACTTTCAGGTCTCCTCACACTGCTGGTGTGTTGAATTTTTTTGACATAGGGTGCTGGCAGATTACGGGCCTCCCATAGCTGCTGCCAGGTCCCCTAATCTGCCATGGGCCCCTATATACCGCCTCCTCATGCTGCTGCCAAGTCCAGAGTCTGTCATGGGTCCCTGTACGGCCTCCCATTTCTGCTGTCTCCATCGCCACACTCTGCCATGCCACTTTCAGGTCTCCTCACACACTGCTGTTGTGTTCAATTTTTTTTTGACATAGGGTGCTGGCAGATTACGGGCCTCCCATAGCTGCTGCCAGGCCCCTAATCTGCCATGGGCCCCTATATACCGCCTCCTCATGCTGCTGCCAGGTCCAGAGTCTCTCATGGGTCCCTGTACGGCCTCCCATTGCTGCTGTCTCCATCGCCACACTCTGCCATGTGCCACTTTCAGGTCTCCTCACACTGCTGGTGTGTTGAATTTTTTGACATAGGGTGCTGGCAGATTAACGGCCTCCCATAGCTGCTGCCAGGCCCCCTAATCTGCCATGGGCCCCTATATACCCCCTCCTCATGCTGCTGCCAGGTCCACAGTCTCTCATGCCATGTGCCACTTTCAGGTCTCCTCACACTGCTGGTGTGAAATTTTTTGACATAGGGTGCTGGCAGATTACGGGCCTCCCATAGCTGCTGCCAGGCCCCTAATCTGCCATGGGCCCCTATATACCGCCTCCTCATGCTGCTGCCAGGTCCAGAGTCTGTCATGGGTCCCTGTACGTCCTCCCATTGCTGCTGTCTCCATCGCCACACTCTGCCATGTGCCACTTTCAGGTCTCCTCACACACTGCTGTGTGTTCAATTTTTTTGACATAGGGTGCTGGCAGAATACGGGCCTCCCATAGCTGCTGCCAGGCCCCTAATCTGCCATGGGGCCCCTATATACCGCCTCCTCATGCTGCTGCCAGGTCCAGAGTCTCTCATGGGTCCCTGTACGGCCTTCCCATTGCTGCTGTCTCCATCGCCACACTCTGCCATGTGCCACTTTCAGGTCTCCTCACACACTGCTGGTGTGTTGAATTTTTTGACATAGGGTGCTGGCAGATTACGGGCCTCCTATAGCTGCTGCCAGGCCCCTAATCTGCCATGGGCCCCTATACCGCCTCCTCATGCTGCTGCCAGGTCCAGAGTCTCTCATGGGTCCCTGTACGGCCTCCCATTGCTGCTGCCAGGCCTGTAATCTGCCATGGGCCCCCGTACCACCTGGTCACGCTGCTGCTGGGTCCACAGTGTGACATGGGTCCCTGTACCGCCTCCCATTGCTCCCACTCTGCCATGTGCCACTTTCAGGTCTCCTCACACTCCTGCTGGTTTCCATTTTGTCATAGGTTGCTGGCAGATTACAGGCCTCCCATAGGTGCTGCCAGGCCCCAAATCTGCCATGGGCCCCCGTACCGCCTCGTCACGCTGCTGCTGGGTCCACAGTGTGACATGGTTCCCTGTACCGCCTCCCATTGCTCCCACTCTGCCATGTGCCACTTTGAGGTCTCCTCACACTCCTGCTGGTTTCCATTTTGTCATAGGTTGCTGTATGGCCTCCCATTGCTGCTGCCTCCACCGCCACACTGTGGCTCCAAACACTGGTTTTGGCCCCGTGACTGGCCAAATGAGTGAAGTGTGCGGTGATTCTAAGATCGACGGCACATCATCTGCATGTCATACTGACTGACAGTATTATTTCTCTTCCCCAGCAGACTCCAAGGGCATTTAAATTAAAGGTACAGTGTTCTGCACTAATATTAAGTCTCTCTGAAGCCTAGAAACACCCTTTTTTAAGTTAAATTCACAGCGAATATATTCGACTCGAATCGAATATTGTCCACGAATTCGCCGAATCAGTCGAATCGAATTTTTGAATACTTCGCTCATCTCTATTTATGAGATGTGGTGGCCCTCAGGTGGTAAGATAGGAAATAGCAGGACACATTGTAAAAGCCAAAGAATTAATCTTACACTATTTCTTTTTTTAATCTAATGTGACTTTGAGGTACTATGAATTGCACCCCTCCCAACTAAGCCTCCATTTTTATGCTGACGTGCCTGAAGAAGCAGAAAGCTGCCTCATCAAGACATGCATCTATGGATGGGTAAAAATGTGCCCACCTGTACTTCATGGAGATTTACATTGGAATGAATTTCAACAAGCCAGCTGAAAGTTGAAATCAAGCTTGCAGTGAGAGTACATGCTTTGTAATTGAATGGGAAAGAAGGAGCTAATTTCAAGGGCCTACAAAAGGGACAGCACCTGGCTGGTTCAAAAGCTCTGAAAAATTTAATCACTATCTTTATGCTCTACAACCATGTAGCATAAGCTCAGAAGCGGGAGTGCTGGAATGTATAGTGGGGTAGGATACATGGGCCATCAGAGAGGTGAGCACAGGAGCTCTTTTAATGCAAGAGAATTTCAGCTTGATTCTGTTCATAGTTGCTCATAGATCATTTTGGGGAAATATTCGGTTATTACAATGATGTAACTGGAACTTCTTATTTATACCAAAATAAATCTGTTTTGCAGGTTTTCTGTGTGGGACAAATTATCTGTGCAGTTTTGGCTGACACCCCTGAGCAAGCAAAGAAGGCATCTGCCAAAGTGAAGATTGTCTATGAGGATTTAGAGTCAGCTATTTTCACAATAGAGGTCTGCACAAGCCATTCATTACAGACATTCTGCATGTGTTAGTGTTATGTTGATGATGGTCGCATAGCCTTTTGTCTGTTCATAGATAATGTTATATTACTAAAGGTCAAAACACCAGAAATGTTTATATACATGTTATTACATTTTATACAGGATAGCTTTTTCATTAATAGCAATACATGTTATTTTATTTTTTCATTTCAGGAGGCCATTAATCACAACTCATTTTACAAGCCACAAAGACGGGTAGAGGTGGGAAATTTGGAAGAGGCATTTCAGACAGCTGATCAGGTGCATGAAGGTAGAATACGTCTTGCTGTAGCCATTAATGACTTATATGTCAGAATTCTGCTATACTGAGCAAGATACCTGCTACAATCCTGAGTCATGTTATCTAGTTATTTTTTCTTTAAAGTGTAAACCCAACATCTATTTTTCAGAACATTTGGCATCATGACTGTATACAGTTTTCTTAAGGCAATAATTGTTGTGAATCAATTGCAAAATGTTTGACCTGGAGATCTTGTTGGTAACAACACTGCTGAAGGATGAGAATGTTAATCTGCTGCCTTGCAATTAGCAGCAACAATGTCAGCCTGCTGTGTGTACTCCTTCAGTTGGCTATTGGTATGCCTGTCAGGTTTATCAGATAGGCAACCCAACAAACAACTTAAACTGTTACTAAACCTACAACAGTAAATTCAGTCTTTATATGCAGTAAAGCACGCTTGTTATGCTCACTGTGGAACCTAAGGGGTTATTCCTCTACATTGTGTACAACGGCCATTTAATCCTGACTTCTCTGATCCTCCCCTTCTTCCAGTTTTCTCCTCTTATCTCCTGATAAGACATATGGTGTGGAGGCACTCTGCACATGCTCAGTTTGGTATGTATTGCTAGAGAGGTTTTTTTTTTTCTAGGGAGAGTGCATGTGATCAGCACAGGGCCAATCAGCACTGTCCAGACAGAGATCAGGGGTTTTGCATCCTCCTAGAGCAGAATGAAAACTCCTCCTACAAGCTGTAACCAGTGCTCGGCTGGACACTGATAGAAGTCACAAGACTGCTATATACTGCTGATGAGAATAGCTATTTAGTTTATATTTACTAAAATAATTGCATTTCCATGTTTGTACAGTGGGAGATCAGATATAGTGAATGCAGGGTCCTGGGTTTAGTAACATTTTAAGGAGCACACTCAGACTGACAATGCTGCCGCTAATTTTGAGGCAGTGGATTGGTGTTTTTTAGTTGGAACAGAGATGGCTCTCACTGACAGGATCTCCAGGTAAGAACTTGCAAAAAAATGATTATGCTACAGTGAGGCATCACACCAATATTGTATATATTGCTACATTCTTGTGTGTGTGATAGTAACAGAAATGGAGATATAGAGCCAAAAAAATTTCTTATACAGAAAATTGTATACAGTGAGTCTTAAAGTGGTACTTAATACACAATAAATATGACATAATGCCATTTTGGTTGAACTGGATGGACTTTTGTCTTTTTTCAGCCAGACTAACTATGTAACATATATGATACAGTCTGTCACTAGCACTAGCACAGCAGTCTATTTTTCTGTAACTCTGTAACATGGTTTATTATCTGGTGATCCTGCCAACAAGTCTGCAATTTTTCAACATCCTTTAACAGACCAAGCTGTCCAGAAATATCCAGATGTAGCAGTTAGAGGGTTGAGACAAACCATTAATACTGATAGGGGTAACTATAGTGGTCAGCTTTTTTTCATTTATGTAAAACTGTTATCCCAAAATAAAAAAAAAAAACTATTGCTGTAACTGCTTAAAAAGTTTTAGTTGAGGTTTGGCTTTAATTTGTTAGTCGCCTATGTAAAGTCCATCTAAATCTATTAGTACATCTAACACTACGCTCTCCCCGACAATGCTGCTTTCCAAGGGTGTCTCCGTCGCTTCTCCATAAATAGAGGAGTCACACTAAGGTGTCCTTTTATCAAACTGAGGTCAGTGGCGATCCTGAGGAAAATGTTCTCCGCTGATCATCTAGCACACAAAGAATCTCTCACTGACAGCCAGTGTATAAAGGAGCGATGTCAGCCCTTCAGTGGAGATCTGTGTGAAACTTCTCCCTCCAGATTCTCCAGCCCAGAGGTGGAGAATCGGGGAGACCGCAAACAAAGCAGCGGTAATTTACAGCTGATTCGAAAACTGTATGTTTGACTGATCTCTTACTGTAATCTTGCGAGATTACAGTAACAGCAGCCGTTTTCTAGAGTTTAAAGCATTTGTAGATCGCTTTCTCTCCTCATTAGGAGAAGCGATCTACACCGCTCCATGAACAGGCATTCAGAGGAGAATGCCAGAGAACTGAGCTGCGGTCATTTACCACTGCATGATAAAAGGACACCTAAGACAAGAAGTGTTTTACTGGCTGGTTCACTAAAAATAAACCCAGAAAACAAATGCAGAAACCACATCTAAGAATTGGTCAGCTTCCATATATTCAATTTATGTTTGTAGGTTTTCTTGATGGAGATTAGATACGGACCAAAAGAAAAACACATTCACAAATATTTACACTAATGAATATCCAAAGTATTTCCACAGCCTGCTAGTTCTAACTTAGAAAGTACCAGAATAATTCCCTGATAGAATAGGGATATTTGAAGACTATTTGTCTGCTCAGGCTATGGAGGAAGTAGAAGGCAATATTCCCTACAAGTAACTGGAGGGAACTATAATTTTTTTGCACATCTCTCTTGCCCCTCTGCACCAGTATAGAAAACGTGGTAATTTCACATACATGTACATTTGTGTGTCCATTGCAGGTGAAGTCCACATTAGTGGCCAGGAACATTTCTACATGGAAACACAAAGCATTCGGGTGGTACCCAAAGGAGAAGATGGAGAGATGAATGTCTACCTAGCAAGTCAGGATCCAACATCTACACAGGTAATATAAGAATCATTTTTTCTTGTTACTTTGTGCTTGCTTTGTGCATATAGCAACATTGGTTCTGTGAGGAGTATGTTCTTGAGCATAGCCTGTAGTATAGTTTCTTACTTTGGCCTTATGTATCAACATGTTTTTTCCCCACAGCAACTCAAATGCATACATTAATGGCAAGTCAAATGGCTTGGGCTCACAGTGGGGTTGATTTATTAAAACCGGAGAGTGCAAAATCTAGTGCAGCTGTGCATGGTAGCCAATCAGCTTCTAACTTCAGCTTGTTCAATTGAAATTTGTAAAGCGTTGCGCAAACTGTTGGCGCTATATAAATCCTGTATAATAATAATAATATTTGACAATAAAACCTAGAATTGATTGGTTTCTTTACAGAGCTGCACCAGATTTTGTACTCTCCAGTTTTAGTAAATCAACCCCATAGGTTCATTAGATTCTATATAGTTTGCAGTGAAGACTTCCCAGATCCCAGATCAGTGTCTTGTCTTTATTAGAATATCATCTTACCAAAATGATCATTCATTTTAAGTAATATTATTTTATGGACTACACATTATTTTAGATATTAAAACACAACAGCATCTCTAAGTAATAAGCTAAGTGAACCTAATAATACCATAATATAATAATTTCACGTTGGTTTACTTAAAGATCTCTGTTGATGGGCTTTTGTTCACATTAGAACTGCTTCTCTCCCCATATAAGTCTATGGGGGTAGAAAAGCAGCTTGAAGCAGGTACAATGAAGATTAGTAGGAGGTAATCTGCAAGTAATATGCACTTAGAACGAAATCTGAATGATCTCAGAAGCATATCGAACTAATTCCAAGTGCACATTGCATTTGCAGATGCCAATTAACACAGGCCCTAAGGGAGGAAAGTATCTGAACTTGTACCGGCTTTTTCCAAAGTCTATGGGCTCTGAGATCTCTCTTTCAGATAGTCTACCCAAACCTCTAGATTGTTAGTGGCAGGGGAACAGATGAATATGTATTGGGGTTTGTTGACACTGGAAATGCAATGGAAGCCTGTTAATCTGGTTAATCTGTGAGTATAGGATAGTCAGCAGATGATGTTATCAGCTATATATGATGAAGCAGCTTCTAGACTTTAAGTCACAGAACACAATTACAATGAGATCACATCAATGCATCTCCCTTTAAATGAGGTCAGTTGTTTTCTAGAATGCTAGGCTACCAGCAACAAAGCATGTCTCAGCAACAAGGAGCTGCCACATACAGCAAATAAAAAGCTATTTATTTTAATAGGGAAATTATACAATTTTGCATATGAGTACTTTGGCTTAACATTTGCCAGCAGCACTAGTAGCTCTATGCAAGTTTTATTCTCTTTGAAATGTCTTCCTATAAGGTGGCTGCTGTATAGATTTTGACATTGAAGAGGAGAGGTACACCAACTGACCCTCTACTAGCAAAGATGGCAATGTCATTATTAGTTAACTAACCCAGCCTACCAAAAAGATAAAGGCTAATTTCACCTTTTCAAAAAAAAATAAAAAAAAATAAAAGCACTTTTTTTGCACGTAAAAAAATTTGCATTTATTTTTTTTTTTTCTAAGGAGCCTGCGGAGCATTGCACCCATGATCAGCAGATCATGGGTGCAATCTCAGGCTCCTGCAGACTCTCGGTACACTGTTTTCCCATACTTTGTATGGGCAGGCAGTTACTGAATGGCAGGAAGAATCAATGAACTATGAGAGTTCTAACCAGCGCCCCCACAGTTCATTGAGAATTACAAGCCTTCAGCTGCAATGGCTGATGGTACTTGTAGTTTAATCATTCACAGCAAACTCCACCCACAAGGTTGCGCTCTTTTTACATTGTGACAGTGGGTATGGGGTATAGGTATGCTGTCATGGGGGGGGGAGGTAAGGGGAGCAGAGAGCAGATACTGTAACATGCTGCATCTTCCACCCTAAAAATGAGTGGAACATGTAACATGTTCCAATGGTGAACTAATCCTTTAAAAGCTAGGGTGGGGTTTTTTTATTAGAAAGTCTGGCACACTTTTCAGAAATTGAGCCATGAATGTATCCTGTAATAACGGTTTATTTAGAAAATACAAATGATAGTCAAATTTAACGTAATATACTGTAAAACAGAAAATAGATTTGGTGGAAAATTTCCAAAGAAAATGTAGCCTACTTCTATTGCTTATGCAATAGCATTTGGACATAAGCATGGACTTGTAAGGATGCCATTTTACTTTGCTAGATGCCTAGACGTGATTGAAAATAAACTAAAAAAATATTACAGATTTCTGTTTTTTTCTTTAGGGACTTGTAGCTGCAGCACTCAAGGTGCCTTCTAATCGTGTTGTATGTCATGTAAAACGAATTGGAGGAGGTTTTGGCGGAAAAGCGACAAAAACAGGTTATCTTGCAGCAATCACTGCAGTTGCTGCCAACAAGTAAGTTAAACTCTATACAGTGACCTGTGCGTGCCAGCAGCAACATACCTTAGCTTAGAGTCTACAAAGCAATCCTATAATGAGAACTGCAAACAAATTCAAAAATTCTGTAATATTTACCTAGATATGCTAATTGCCTGTGCAGGGTTTGCTTGCAGTGAACCTGGGATTTGTCCATGCCCCCCAGCATCAAATTATACTAACCTCCCCACACTTTGCCACCAAAAATGAAGAGAAATAGCTGGTAATTCTGAGTGTAGAGAGTATGTTAGTCACTTACCTAAGTCCCATGTGACAGTGCTGGTTTTCAGAGGTCAGCAATGACACTGTATCGTAAGTGATCGATAAATTATATGTTTGGTGGGTTTTCCCTGATCGAGCCTCTTAAGATGACACCTGCAATATATTGTTAATAAAGACAGTATCTATTACAGAATAAATGCAGCCAAAATTATTATTATTATAAACAGGATTTATAAAATGCCAACAGTCTGCTCAGTGCAATACAGCAACATTATAGTTAAATACAAGAGGGTTAGGAGGGCCCTGCTCATTGGAGCTTACAATCTAGAGGAAGGGGGCTGGTGGTACAAAAGGTAATAACTGTGGGGGATGGACTGGTAGAAGGAATAGAAGATTCCATTATTAACTGAAGGCAGGATAGACTTCCCTGAAGAGATAGGTTTTCAGAGATCTCCTAAAACTTGGCAGAGTAGGTGATACTCTGATTGATTGGGGTAGAGGGTTCCAGAGGATGGGGGAGGCTCTGGAGAAGTCCTGGAAATGAGCATGGGAGGAGGAGACAAGGGAGCTAGGGAGCAGGAGGTTGTGGGAGGAGCGGAGAGTACGATTTGGGTGGTATTTGGAGACAAGATTGGTGATGTAATCTTGCAGAGTTATAAATGGCTTTATATGTTATTGGTAATGTTTTGAATTTTATTTGTTGGGCAATGGGAAGCCAGTGGAGGGACTGGCAGAGAGGGATGGCAGATATGGAACAGTTCGTAAGATGGATGAGTCTGGCAGCAACATTCATGATAAAAAGAAGAGGGGATAGCCTGCGATGAGGTAGGCCAATGAGGAGGGAGTTACAATTGTCAAGGTGAGAGATAACCAGGGAGTGAATAAGTTGCTTAGTAGTTTCAAAGATTAAGAACGTGCTTATCTTGGAGATGTTGTGGAGGTGAATTCTACAAGATTTGGACAGTTATTGGATTTGGGGCTGAAAGGACAGATGGGAGTCTAGGATTACACCTAGTACCCTGGCATGAGGGGAGGGACTGATGGTTGTATTATTGATCTTGATGGAGAAGTCAGGGCAGGGGGCACGGGCTGGAGGGAATAGTATGAGCCAGTTTTAGAAAGATTTAGTTTGAGGAAGTGGAGTGACATCCATGCTGATATGTCACTTAGTTGGTTAGTAATGCGAGAGGAGACTGAAGGGGTGAGGTGAGGAGTAGAAAGATAGATTTGTGTGTCATCAGCATAGAGATGGTACTTAAAGCCATGAGAGTTTATCAAGTGACCAAGAGAGGAGGTGTAGATGGAGAAGGGAAGGGGTCCAAGGACAGAACCTTGAGGGACCCCTATAAAAAGAGGAAGTGGAGAGGATGAGACAGAGTTATAGGTAACGCTGAAGGAGTGCTGCGATAGGTAGGAGGAGAATCAGGAGAAAGCAGAGTCTTGGAAGCCAAGAGAGTGGAGTTTTTTGAGGAGGAGGGGATGGACAACAGGATCAAAAGCCGCAGAGAGGTCAAGTAGTAAGAGTATGGACTAATGGCCATTGGTTTTAGCAGTTAGTAAATCATTAGTGAGTTTTAGTAGGGCAGTTTAATTGGAGTGGAGTGAGTGAAAGCCAGACTATAAAGGGTCAGGAAGGTTGTTGTTAGTGAGGTAGGAGCTCACGTGATTGTAGACTAAGCGTTCTAAGAGTTTAGAGGTAAATGGGAACTGGGAGATGGGTCTTAAGTTGTTCAGGTTGGTGGGATCCAGGGAGGGATTTTTAAGTATGGAAGTGATGTGTGCATGCTTTAGAGGGGTGGGGAAGGCACCATTAGAGAGGGAGAGATTGGAAATGTTAGTGAGGGAGCATAGGATAGAAGAAGAGGGTGACCGTTGTAGTTGTGAGGGGACAGGATCCAGGGGGCAGGTGGCGGGGCAGGCTTCTGAGAAAACATTAGTGACTTCTTCAGTAGTAGCAAAGTCAAAAGAGGAAAGTGTTGAGGGAGGTTTAGTATAAGGTATGCTAAGTGGGATAGATGTCTGTGGAAATGCCCCCACGAATTGTATCAATCTTGTTTTTGAAATGATTTGCAATCTCGTAAGCAGTGGTGGGGTACTGGGTAGAGGTGGTGAAAGTAGAAAGTTAAAAGTAGAGAAGAGATGATGACCCATACAATGGGTCTGTGCCTGCACTGCATGGTTAAATGGTTGTTTTTGTCTAGGGGCTCAGAGAACAAAGATATACTTACCTAATCCGCTGATCCTCTGAGCCCAAGACAGGTCCCTACCGCTCCTGAACCCCTGACGTCATCACTTCCATAGACCAGCTCTGGACATGAGAACGGCAGGGAGCGTGGTTTTCCAGAGGATTGGAGAAATGGGTAAGTATAGCTTTTCCCTGAGCCCCTGGACAAAACAAGCACTGAAACCATGCAGTGCATGCATAGCCCCTACTGTATGGGAAGATAAAAGTTTTAACCGGAGTTCTGCTTTAAAATTTAAAACGCCAACCCCCAAAATACACTGCCCAAAGCCATGTTGGCTGCTACCTTTTTCAGGCTTTTTGTTATTTTATAATTACCAAACTGCATGTAACACATTTGCTGCCTCATGGGTTGCATCTCTAACTCACTGCACTGTATTCATTGCATTTATGGAGAAGCAGTAAGAGCTAGGGGAGGAGAAACAGCCATACACTGATCTTCCCAGTGAAAGGCTGTGCCAGGGTGACATGTCAGAACAAGTCTGATCATTGGAGGAGAGCAGGCTGAGGTCCTAGCACAGCAAAAGAACTGACTGTGCTGTGCTCTCATGCTTAGTGTGGTAGGTTTTTTAATAGGAAAGCAGAGGGACTGATAGGAACACCAGGGGTTTCACACAAAGGAAACAATACAAAGAGAACAGGATACATTTTCATACAAGTACATGATACAGCAGGCACATATCAGGAATATGAAATATTGGGTTTACTTATTCTTTAATAAAGTATTCTGAATTTGAATAGAGTATGTGTCCTGTAGTTTAGAGAAGATAGCTAGGAAAGATAACATGATTGTGTAATATTTCCGTTAATTGCACAGAAAGTTACAAGGACACAAACTTTTTGGTGGAATAAAAAAGTATTTTTCTGTAAATTCAGAAAATATACATAGCTATTGCATCCAAGAGATTATATTCCTTCTGTTGCCTTTCTTCTAAAAGTGACTCAGCTGTAGAGCTTCTCAAGCATTTCTAGCCTGAAGAACACCTTCCCCCACCTTTTGCTTGAGTCCCCCCCAGCCATGTATCATGGGCTTTACTGCTACATCCATTGCATTTGTCAGCAAGGAGAGCAGAGGGATGTTCACAATGTGGAAGCGGCAAGCTTTTCGGCACTTCTGGTTTCAGAGATCTCATTCCCTGGTCATTGTGGTTGGAGAAGAAGCCAATCAAGCATTATTTGTGCTTGATTAGCTACATTGAAGTTGATAAGTGTCCAATAGACACCAACAGGGTGATTTACTAAAACTGGAGAATGTGAAATCTGGTGCTGCTATACATGGTAGCCAAACAGCTTCTAACTTCAGCCTTGTTCAATTAAGCTTTGGCAATAAAACCTGGAAGCTGATTGGTTTCTATGCAGAGCAGCACCAGATTTTGCATTCTCCAGTTTTAGTAAATCACCCCTCTAATGTCTCCTTAATAAGAACCTTTCAGTTCCAATGTGCTATCACATAGGGGGCTAGCTAGAATTTTATTCAACATTTTTTGATGTATTAATGTACTATTTTATAAATCCCTTAATTTCTTGCAAGGCTACATAAAACATTAAGCACTAGTTTTAACATACGCTGTTCTCTAAAAATGTACTAATACAAATACTTAACTCCACTCCAAAGGTGGTCACTTCATGCCAGCAATACTAACCCTTATTCATCATAACAGTTTGAAATAAAATTAGAAGTAATCAGTGTATGTCTCCATTCATGCACTTTTAAGTGAAATTTACTCTTTTCCCCACTCTAAATTTATTTCTGCCTGTGACCCCACTAGAAAGATTTTCCCTACAGACAGCAATGAAAACCTGTTGTAAATTATGGCTGAAGTTACACTTTAAGAAAAAGTATAAAAGTTTGTGTTCAATTGTAGAGAATTTCAAAATTAATGGAAAGCCTACCCTTCCTTTATTAGAATGGCTGTGATTCTGATCATGAAATTATTTTTAAGTGCTCCTTGCAATGTCTGAGAGATACCACTGTTTATTTTAGGACAAAGCGTGCCGTGCGCTGTGTTCTGGAGCGAGGAGATGATATGTTAATAACAGGAGGACGCCATCCTTTCCTAGGAAAATATAAAGTAAGTAAATGCAGTAGAAATTTAGCACAAAATATTTGGCAGAACTGTAAAGTCAGCACTCAGGATAAATGAATAAAATATCAGTAAATTTATTGATAACATACATTCTTAAACATATGAACTGTATTCTGTCTTGTTCATATTAAAATCTTTTGAAGACTGTCATCTTAAATGACACCCATAGTATTATCCCATGCTTATATCTTATTATACTGTAATCACAATGGAATAAGTGTAAAAAAGTATAGGGGCAATATATAGTTCAAAACTGCCATTAACAATTGTGGATATAATCTTTTCTCATTCAGGTTGGGTTCATGAATGATGGTCGGGTCACTGCTGTAGATGTGTCCTATTACAATAATGCTGGCTATACTTCTGATGACTCAGTCCTGGTAGGTCATTTTTTACTTAAAGCATTCCTCCTGTCTCATTTAAGGTAATGCTTACTTGTACGATACATGTTATGTTGCCTTGTAACCCACATGCAGATCTGTGTATCCATAGGCACATGTGTATTTAATATTTTAAATATTGGATTTATACTAATCCCTCTTGTATTGAACTGTATTGTTACTGTACTGTCTCCCTCCATAATGTAAAGCGCTGAGCAATCTGTTGGTGCTATATTAGTATATTATAATAATAATAATACAAAAAATTAATTTTTTAGGTAGTTGAAGTTGGTCTAATGAACATGGACAGTGGTTACAAAATACCTAATCTGAGATGTAAAGGTGTTGCCTGCAAGACTAATCTGCCATCAAACACTGCTTTCCGGGGGTTTGGATATCCACAGGCTGGATTTGTAACTGAAACATGGATGAGTGAAATTGCTATTAAGACTGGCCTTCCAGCTGAGAAGGTGAGAAAAACTGAGATTAAGAGAGGAGGCCAATTTTCTGTTACACTAGAAAAATCTGGAAGTGTGGGATTCTCTTTGTGTCACGTGACTCCATTTTCTGACATGCAAATTGTCTATTTCTTTCAAATCTAGTTTATATCCTATTTAAAAGAACACACTCCTGGAGCTCACATGAAGTTTATTTCATCTTTAAAGGAATCCCCTTTTTATATTGTCTGTTCTGTTCATGTCTTCTCAGATGATCTGTAGAATTAATTTTTAATCAAATCAAAATTTACAAGAAATCTATCCAATTGTCATTTGAAGATTTTGGCGGGAGGTCTTGAAGCGGAGTTCCACCTGAAAAAAAATAAAAATAAAAACAAAAACTGTAGCTGCTGACTTTTAAAATAAAGACACTTTGGTCCAGCAGTGTCCTCAGTGTGGGCACCCGGCTGTGACGGCTTGCGGCTTCACAGCTGGGTGCCAACTGCGCATGCGCGAGAAGCACTGCACTTTGTGAATGGCCCCATAGTCTTCTGGGACCTGTCACGTGTCCCAGAAGACTACGGGGAGGGAGGGGGGAGGACAACCTCCGCTTCCGATCACCTATTCGATCGCAGCGGAAGTGGGAGTGGGTACCTGTCAAATTTGGGTATCCACTCCCCCCTGCTCCCCAAAGGTGCCAATCCTTAATGGGGAGCGGGGGACAAAGACTTAAAGCGGAACTTCCCTTTTTGGGTGGAGCTCCGCTTTAAAGTAAACCTGTTATTGTCTTATATTGGGGGGGGGGGGGGGGATTTGATAAATCTGCTGCACAACTTTTCTGATGTTAATCTTGCTAATGTATTGCGCCAAATTCATGACGCATTTGTAACACTTTTGGTTCTGACAGCAATTTGCTGCACAAAATGCAGATAGTTCTAAAATGCAATACTTTTACATTGTGTTGCAGTAAATGCGCCACTTTTATATTGTGAATGTGCCAAATGTAAAAGTGAAGCTAATTAAGACCAATTCTCTTTTTGCATAGAGAAAAACTGGTTCAGACAAATTTTGTGATGTGTCTCTCATGCATGCTAAAAGTGGCACAGTATGAGCCAAATTCAAAGAACAGGTTGTATACAAGTACATGAATTCGGTGCATTCTGAACCACTTTTAGAATGCATGAGAGACACTTTTGCAAAATCTGCCTCAGACATCACTAAATGGCGGACCACGGTCCAGATCTGGACAGAGTCGCTGTCCCGTCCGGACCCACCGCAGTCGTGCCATTTAAGAGCCGCTAGTTCTTCCACTCAGTCTCAGAGCTGACATCGGGAGGCAGCACAGCGTTGGAAGGGGGGTGGGAGCTGCCCTAGTTAACTGATTGGTTGGTTGCTAGGGTGCAGGGTTCTAGTAACCAATCACAAGCTAGTTAATAGAAAAAGTTGTGCATCTCCACCCCTCCATCCAGAACTGTGTTGCCTCCCGATGCCAGCTCTAGACCTGCCATGCCTCCCGCCCTCCATCCTGTGTAAGGTAAGACAGGGAAAAGGGCTATGCCCCTGCTATGACGGAGGGGGAAGGAAGCTGGGATGATATGAGGGGGGGAAGGCTGCCTTATATGCAGAAATGCAGAGAAGAAGTCCCTGACCCTTACTTTAAATTGTGCTGTACCGAGACACATAATGCATCATGGCACCATGCAGTTTGGAGCTCGCAAAAACATTTGTCAATGTGCATAGGTGCCATAGGACCTCTGCTGGAAAAAAAATTTACTGACTGGACTTCTGTGAATTTTTATTAAATACCCCTGCTGTACACATTGAGCAACCCATTTTACCATTTCTTAAGTCTTTCATAAATTCAGATAATACTTGGGGTGTGTTACATTCTTTGCAAAGGTTTTAGGCATATGTGAAAAATGTTGTAAATTAAGAATGCTTTCAGAAATAGAAATGTTAAGAGTTTATTTTTATCAACCTAACAAAATGGAAAGTAAATGACCAGGATAGAAATCCAAATGAAGTGAATATGTGGTTTGGCCACCCTTTGCCTTCAAAACAGCATCAATTCTTCTGGGTACACTTGCACACAGTTTTTGAAGGAACCCAGGAGGTAGGTTGTCCCAAACATCTTGGAGAACTAACCAACCACAGATCGTCTGTGGATGTAGACTGCCTCAAATCCTTCTGCCTCTTCATGTAATCCCAGACAGACTCCATGATGTTGAAATCAGGGCTCTGTGGGGGCCAAACTATCACTTCCAGAACTCCGTGTTCTTCTTTACACTGAAGACAATTCTCAGTTACATTGGCTGTATATTTGGGGTTGTTGTCCTGCTACAGAATACATTTGCACTCCTCCCTGATGGCATGATGGATAAGTATATAACTGTGTTTCTCAGTACTGAGGACAGCATTGGTCCTGACCAAATCTCCAACTCCATTTGCAGAAATGCAGCCCCATACTTGCATTCTTCACTGTTGCCTGCAGACACTCATTATTGTATCACTCTCCAACCCTTCAGCAAACATACTGCCTCCCGCTACAGCCAAATATTTAAAAGTTTGACTCCCCAGTCCAGAGCACCATGTTTTAATGCATAGTTGAGTCGCCTAGCCTTGCTCCTATGTTGAAGGTATGGCTTTCATGAAGACCACTTCTGGTCAGACTTCTCCAGACAGTAGATGGGTATGCCTTGGTCCCACTGGTGTCTGCCAGTTCTGTGCTGATGGCACCACTGAACATATTCCAGCATTGAAGGGAAGTAAGCATGATGTGTCTTTCATCAGCTGCATTAAGTTTCCTTGACCAACCACTGCATTTATGGTCCTCTTTGTGCTTCTTCAAGCACATCTTGAAACCCTAGTCTGCTTTGAAATACCTTCCTTGGAAAGACCTTGCTTATGCAGTATAACTACCTTGTGTCTTGTTGCTGTGCTCATTCTTGCCATGGTATATGAACTGTGACATGAAACGGTCTACCGCAATCTCACCTTAGTCTTAGTGGAAGAGACAACCTCACCTTACTAGAAGAGTTTGGCTGTTTCTCACCCAGTTTTAAACCTACTACACAGCTTTTTCTGTTTCAGTTAATAACTGCAACCTACATAAGAAATCAAGGATCATTAGCACCTGCTTGGTATAATTGGTTAATCATACCCCTGACTCTAATCCTACAAAATCCCTGACTTTGTGCAAGGGTACAAAGTGTGCAATTGTAGGAATTGATGCTGGTTTGAAGCCAAAGGGTAGTCACACCAAATGCTGGTTTGATTTAGATTGTTCTTCTTTTCGTTCACTATGCATTTTGTAGATTGTTAAAAAATAAACAAATAAAATATATCTTTTGGAAACCATTCTAACTTTACAGCATTTTTTAACACCCACCTTAAACCTTTGCACAGTACTATATATATATAGATGAGGCTGCTTCAGTTTTTAAGAACTGTTCTTTTTTATTGCACTGTTATTTCATTTATCAAAAAAGTTTAACTAATTTTTCAGGTTAGGGAGATCAATTTGCACAGAGGGATTGGCCAAACGCACTTGAAACAGGAGATAGATGCTAGAACTTTGATAATGTGCTGGAATGAGTGCATGGAGAAGTCTTCTTACCATAACAGACGACTGGCCATTGAAGAATATAATAAGAAGAATTACTGGAAGAAGAAGGGACTAGCCATCATCCCCATGAAATTTCCCATTGGATCCGCTGCTAAATTTTTTGGACAGGTATGTTTATCTTTATCATGTAATTTTCACATTTTAGTGAAGTGTGTGTGTTTTTGTCAGTCAGGTTTTGACACAGTGACGTGACATGACCATGTTTTTGTATATGCTGTGCTTATTATATATTATAGAAATTGGACCTTAATTCAAAATGGTTAAAGTGCAATTTGTTACTTTGTTTGGTTGTAGGCTGCAGCCCTTGTCCACATCTATCTGGATGGATCGGTGTTGATTAGTCATGGTGGGGTAGAGATGGGACAGGGAGTCCACACAAAGATCATGCAGGTATATGTTCAAACAGTTGTTGATTGATACCGTCTTTCTATGTCAGCAAGCTGAAATGCAGCTCACCAGTATATCTCTTTTGGTATATCTGCTCTTGCTCTGAGACTCCTAGACAAGGTTGTTTTGAAAAAATGGGTCTTGTAATTTACATCAACCACATCAAGAAAGTGTCCTGTACATAATGCTGTGGGCTTGTTTCTCTTTTATTCAGCTGGCCTTCAGGTAAAAGTGATCTGGATGGCCAATCATTTTTTCATCAGATAGATTCATCAGAAGATGCCCCTCCCCCCCCCCCCCCCCCCCCCCCCATAGTTCCTGGGCACTCTTGACTCTCCTGGGAGCCCAAGACTACAAAAAAAAAATCTCAGGATAGCAAGCAAAAAATTAGGCGATCATCTATTCTTCCCTCCATTCTGTACAGAATGAACCTGGGTATTTCTAACTGTCTAGCTCTCAAACCCTGGTACTTTTGTCTAGGAAATCAGCAAATGTATTTATTATTTTATTTAACTTTATTTATTACAGGTACCTCTATAGCACCATAAATTTATGCAGCACTTTACATGTGTGTATATATACATATATATTGTACATTCACATCAGTCCCTAACCCTCAAGGGGTGTACAATCTAAGGTCCCTAACTTACATTCATACATATCCATACTAGGGTCAATTTAAACAGGATCCAATTAACCTACCAGCATGTCTTTTGAATGTGAGAGGAAACTCCAGGAAATACCTGGAGGAAACCCATGCAGGCACATGGAGAACATGCAAACTCCAGGCAGGTGGTGCCGTAGTTGTGATTCGACCCAATCACGCTAGTACTGCCAGACGGAAATGAACAGCATAGTCTTCTTTGGCTTCAGAGTATATACAGTAGATGTGAAATCAGGGAGGGAGTGAGGCATAGGTCAGCGAGGTCTGTCCTCAATTTTTGTAGGCTCCAATTTAGGACAGTTAACTATAATGATTTAAGTAGTAGAGCTTCTGAAGAAGCTAAGTGTCTTGAATGTTGTTTGTGTCTTCCAAGAGGGAGGGAGTAAGTTGATAAAAGTTCAGACAATTAATGGGGTGCCAAGCCATGAAGAGCTTTATAGGTGAGCATGAGGATCTTAACCACTTGCCTACTGGGCACTTTTACCCCCTTCTTGCCGAGGCCAATTTTCAGCTTTGAGTGCTGTCGCACTTTGAATGACAATTGTGCGGTCATGCAACACTGTACCCATATGACATTTTTATAATTTTTTTCACAGAAACAGAGCTTTCTTTTGGTGGTATTTAAGCACCACTGTGTTTTGTTTTTTTTGTTTGCACTATAAACAAAAAAAGAGCAAAAAATTCAAAAAAGTTTTTCTTTGTTTCTATTATAAAATGTTGCAAACAGGTAATTTTTCTCCTTCACTGATGTGCACTGATGAGGCTGCACTGATAGGCAGCACTGATGGGCACTGATAGGCTGCACTGGTGAGGTGGCACTGGTGGGCATTGATGAGGTGGCACGGATAAGTAGCACTGATGGGCACTGATAAGCTGCACTGATGAGGCAGCACTGGTGGGCATTGATGAGGAGGCACTGATGATGCTGCACTGATATGCAGTAATGATAGTCACTGATAGGCAGCACTGATGGTTACTGATAAGCTGCACTGATGGGTACAAATGGGTGACACTGACTGGCAGCACTGACTGATAGCACTGATGGGCGCAACTGCTGGGGAGCACTGATGGGTGACACTGCTGGGGAGCACTGATGGGTGACACTGCTGGGGAGCACTGGTGGGTGGCACTGATGGGCACTGGTGGGTGGCACTGTTGGGCAGCACTGCAGCTCACTGATCATCAGGGCACTGATCATTTTTGCCCTGACGATCAGTCTCGATCTGCTCTGTGACAGCTGCTGGTTATCGGCAGTACTTTCCTCATGCTGTGACAGCGTGAGGAAAGTGCTGCTGATAACCGGCAACTGTATTTACTCCGTGATCTGCTGTGTCATTAGACACAGCTGATCACGTGGTAAAAGGCCACTGTCATTGGCCTTTTACCTCACCGTGCAATCAGCTGTGTCCGTAGGACACAGCAATGATGGAGATCGCCGGATGCGTGCCACTGGGGACACGGAGGAGGGCGCGTTCTGGAAAGATGTCATATGATGCCCTCCCACAACTGGGTAACCGCGCTGTAGCCGTCAAGTGGTTAAAGTCTATACAAAACCTGATGGGTAGCCAGTGCAAGGATTCTATGATAGGGGTAAGATGGTCACTTGTACCAGACCCAGTGAGGCTTCTGGCTGCAGAATTTTCTATACATTGAAGTCGAGTAATAGTGGATTTAGGTACACCAGCGAGTAGAGCATCTCAGTAGTCAAGTCGGGAGAACACAGTTTTATGGATCAGCTTTTCAGCTACAGTGTATGATAGTCATTTTTTAATATTTAAATTTATGAAAGGTTTATGTACTTTTCATCACAGTGTACAGAGTACAATAGTTAGGAGTGTAACACCATACAGAATGCAGCTCTCAAGTAGGTAGTGTACAGCACAATGTACAAAGTGCAGATGTCGTACATTTGCTACATAATGCATGGTACAGCATGCATCAGTCAGAAGTATGTAATATAAACACTGTACACTCTGCAAGGGTAAGAAGAATGTAATGCACAGCACAAAGTAAAGAATATGGTGGTCAGATGTGTTTAACATGTATTGGTGGGAAGAACACCATATATTGGTGCCCCTTTTATTGCTTTCAGTTTTTTCCAGTGGGTAGAAGACTGACTCTAAAATTGGTTGATAGTGGAAGGAAGACTTCCCCATATATTGGTGTTGGCGAGAGAAAGATTGCCTCTGAATTTAGAAGATGACTGCATTAATGTTAGTGTAATGGGAATGCCCCAGTATTGGTGTTAGTGGTTAGTTATCTAAGAGATGAGAAGAGACACTGTGTGCTGAATGAAATGTCAGTGCTACAACTAAGCAGGGTAGTCAGGTGAGTCATGATGTGGGCACCACTGTAACCAGTACAGATTTATTTTATATACAGGCAGAATACGCTTTCATGAAGAAAAATAAAGTATTTTGTCATGTCCCATGTCTTCCAGATTGCAAGCAGAGAGTTGGAGATTCCTATTTCAGAAGTTCATGTTTGCGAGACCAGCACAGGTTCAGTCCCCAACACAGTGGTATCTGGTGGCTCTCTAGGGACTGATGTCAATGGAATGGCAGTGAAGGTAAACATTTTAATTTATAACTTTGAGTAATATGACACATTCCTTTACGCTTGACTGACTGGAATTTTCAGATTGTACAAATATTTTCAATTAAATACAGAACTCTGAATTTTCATGGCTGTATATTTCAGACTAGTGTGAGGCTTAAAGCGGAGCTCCACCCAAAAGGGGAAGTTCCGCTTTAAGAACTGCTCCCCCTGCTCCCAGTTAAGGATTGGCACCTTTGGGGGGCAGGGGGGGAGCAGGTACCCGAATTTGACAGGTACCCACCTCTACTTTCAGTCCGATCGCCTATGTGATCGGAAGCAGAAGGTGTCCTCCCTCCCTGTAGTCTTTTGGGACACGTGACAGGTCCCAGAAGACTACAGGACCATTCATAAAGAGCAGCGCTACTTGCACATGCACAGAAGCTGCAAGCTGCACAGCCGGGTGCCCACACTGAAGATGCCGGCCTCCTGGAATACAGGACGGCCAGTGAAACGGGCTGCGAGGGACTCACCGCGGGACCGAGGGATAGGTAAGTGGCTATTTTTTAAAAGTCAGCAGCTACAGTTTTTGTAGCTGCTGACTTTTATTTTTTGACAGGGTGAGTGGAACTCCACTTTAAGCTGGCCTTATCTTGTTAGGTTTTTTTTTTTTCGGTCAACCAGGGGGCTGACCAGAAAACCACTAACAAATTCCTTCATCCACACAAATGAGGTGGATGGAAGCTGGGACATTGTATATGGACAGTGGATCTCACTGCTGTCAAAATACATTGGGCAGAGGCTGCATCTGATTGGTTGCAGCCACAGTTCAAGAAAGGTTTTCCAGTATGTCCCTTCAACAGAAGGCAATCAAATGATCGACTTCTCTTGAGTAAGGATTGTCACGAACAATGCACGCCCACGGCAACTAGCTAACCATTGCATGGCCTGTGATTTAGGGTAAGAGGAAAGAGAGGGACTTACTTTGAGCATATAAGACTTGCCGTGATACCCTTTCACGCCCGCACTACCTCTGGCCACCACTGGAGGGAAACCCCACTCCAATCTAGCTGGCTGACCACACACACAGGCAGATACAAATCTTAAATACAATTTGGTGCACTCCAAGGATTGGGGAGCAGTCTAGCAATTAGCACACCTTGCTAGGATTCTTCCAGTTATCGTACAAGCTAGAACCCCGGTTTTAATCACTCTTCCACTGTCCACACACACACCCCACACCAGACACACTATAAAATGGTATCTTGCCACCACCCAACAGTTTGTCCACAGACTGTTCTTTCTCCTGGGCCACCACACACACACGCAGATCTCCGTCTGGAAGTTCTGCTACTTTACAATCTGCATGCAATCTGCCAACACACAGTGCAATTGCCTACATATTGGCAATGAACTTGGAACGAGCATATGACACTAGAAATACAACAATCTCTCCAAAGATATGAGCCCTATTTAGTACACAGAAGTCACTTATTAATTTTATGATTTACTATCCCAAAAGTGGGCAGTGCATAAAATATGTACAGAAAAGAGAGTTACAAAAAAGACATACACAATTGGCTATTCATTATGAAATAAAAAGGGAATAAAAACAGAAATAAAACTTTTACCAAGATCTAGCCTGTGACTGGAGCATGTCAAAAGAATGTCCGCGATTTGCCAGTCAAATGGAACCAGATCCGTATGAATCACGCTGTTCATATCGCAGGGTCCTCAATTTATTAAAATATGGATGTGGGCTGGACTGTAGCCCTTGGTCAATCAACCTTAAGGGAGGTTCCTGTACAAGCCCACAGGTCGTTTTGTGTTCTGAAGTACCCAGAGCTGAATGAGCCACAAATGGTTCGGACCACTGGGCCAAGAATAGGATTTCCGACACCAGCCCATCAGTCTGATCACGACAGTACCAATCACCGTTCACCTGTTGCAACAGTTAGGTGCCATATAACCTGTTTTGTGTGTTTCTCTGGGATTCTACAGAGGCTACAAATACAATTTTACATAGATGTAGCCGAAAATGTGTCCAATCAGAAGGAATTATTTGCATCACTATGTAACTAATATTTTATCTTTTATGAGAGATGAAATGGATTCCTCTGATCTGTTGGTATAAATCAAAGGTGGCAGACATTTCAGAGCCTTCTCCCTGTTCCCTGTCTCCTTCTGATTTGTGTAGCCAAAATGGATAGTAATCTTCTATTAGGCTCAAGAAGGTGGCAATCTCTGACTACATAAATTATAAAGTTTTATTGGCATCTAGGTGTCAACTCCCAGCCTAGAAGCTTGCTCTGTCCTTTCAAATGCTGATTAAAAACATATGTCTCTGACTGATTAAGGTATGCTGTATCTCTAATAACACAGGATTAAACTACAGTATATCTACTATTGAACTACTCCTACAGATCACATCATATCTCAGCTACTGATAAAACTATTCTACTCCTAGATTTATGTTACAGGGCCATACACTGAACAGAATCTGTCTGGTTCCTTCTGGACTAGATGAACTTCAATCATTGTATGGTCAGCTTTAGTGAGGCATTTTCAACCACTCCTTAAAGCCCAACTCAAGGCAAAATGTTTTTTTTTTCATGCAGTGAGGCTGTGCCTGAACTGCATGGGTTAACTGCTCATGTTGTCTATGGGTGAACACAGAGCCTATACTCACCCAATCCTTCAATCCTCTTGAAAACAGCACCCCCCCCCCCCCCTCCAGCAGTGGATTTTTCCTGCCATCATCACTACAGAGCAGGTCTATGGGCATGATGATGTCAACAACAGTTCTCTGCACAAGACCACATAGGAAAGAAAAATTGCCCAGAGTTTTGCTTTAAGTAGTGAAGTAGGCTTAAGACAGATAAATTAACTCCAGTGTTCCTCTTCATTTTCTCAGTCTTTTCTTCTTTTTTTATAGGTTGCTTGTCAAACTCTTATGAAACGCCTGGAACCCATTAAAGAGGCTAATCCCAAAGGTTCATGGAAGGACTGGGTAAGTATTGCTATGATGATTTTTTTTGGTTAACATTTGGAAGTGCTAAATATAGCATTCTGCTACTTATTGAAATATAGCTAAAGGCACCAATTTTTTTATATTTTTGGATTTAGTGGAGAGGGATTAGAACACCTTTCAGTTTTTATCACTGTCTGTCTCACCATTAGGGAGATTCCCCCTCTCCATTTGTCCTGTTTACCATTATCATTGAAAGTGAAAGTAAAAGAAAATCACACATTTTGGTTTGTCCCCAGAAAAGTAATAGAGGGGACATCTTCCAATGAGGACACTACTTCTGGTGACATGGGGGTCCCCAAGTAATTCCGTTCATTTGTAGGGATTTCCTCTCACTTCCTGTTTGGCTATGGGGCAGGTAATGAAAGAAAATCTACGCAATGGGACACAGAGGGCAAAAAAAAAAATCTGACAGGAGTTACTTCCTTACTATATCCAAAATGAAAAAAAAAAGTTTTGCCCATAGTTCTACTTAGTAGCTCTAAATGTCCTGTATAACATAAAAAGAGAAGAGCACTTTTTGTGTCCTATCAGCAGCCCTGAAGGGTCCCTGCACATCTTCAGCTTTACATTCTCATGGTTCATGCATAATCTGTCCACAACAGTGTGACAACCCCCATACCCCAGAGCAAAAACGAGCCTGATTGGATGAATAAAAAGTTAAGGCTGTGGGCCATCTCCACTAACAATACACAGCAGTTGGGGGACATTTCTACAGTCACAGCATACAAACACATACACAATGTTGGAGCTGACACGAGGTCAGAACACACACATGGAAACTCAGTTAAAAACACACAGATGGGGTGAATGAACCTGATGGGGAATTGAGAGACTAGTTCCTCATCAAGACCACGTTCCTTTTAGTTAGCAGTGCACAGCAGTGGGTAGATCCATAACTGCTATTAGGGCCAATACCAGCTTTTAAATCTACCCACTGATGTCCCCTGTCAATCAAAAGCAAGATGGACCTGATGGCGCCCACCCAACAAGCGCTGTAGCCCTGGGGACTAGTTCCGCATCAGGTCTGCCTATCCTGTAAGCTCGTCCTTTTCTAAATTTGGGCATGGTCATATTTGAATAATGACATCACCAGTATACTTGCCCCCTGGCTGAGGATAGAGCCCTGTGGGGAAACTGCCACATTGACAGCTTCTGAGCACAACATTCACTGGTATCTCTCTACACCAGCTCAGAGCTGGTCTTAATTACTACCAGTTTCCCAATCTGTGACCTGGCATTAGTTCTTTAAGAATCTGTTGTTGCAATAGATAAAGTGGAGGTAGCAAGAACTCCCTGAATATGTCGCCCTATGTGTGTAACACAAAACTGGTGCAAAAGCTGAATTAGGCACAGAAAGGGGACAACCACCAGAATAGTGACATAAGTGCTTGATTGAATTCCCCAGGAAGTGCTTGTAAAGAAGGTGGATGTCTGCACAAGCACAAATAATTATTAAAGTGGTAGTAAAGTCCTTTTTCTTGTTTTTTTCCTAAAAGCAAGCCTATAATAAAGCTTACCTGTAGGTACAGTAAATATCTCCTAAATGTGCAATGTGTAGGAGATATGTATTTTAGCAGCGCCGATGATGCCACTGGTCCGTGCGCACTGCACTCTCAGTGAATGGCATACCATCCATTGAGAGAGCTGTGCCGTGGCCCCATGCACGCGCATGAGTAGAAGTGACATCATTGTGGCTCGGGCGTTCAAACGTCCACAACCCGTGAACCTGGACTGAAGACCAGGTGAAGATGGAAGCCCTGTCAGCACACCGCTGGAGGGCTTTATTTTCAGGTAAGTCTTTCATAATGTGCTAGTATGTAGTTCATACTAGCACATTATTCTCCATTTTGTTTTGCAGTTCACTTCTGCTTAATGCACAATGGGAGACATCACTTTTGGCTTGCAGATGAACAACTGCAAGCTATTGTAATGGTCACATGATTACAGTATGCAATGTATTTGTAATTGTCAGATTATTGCTGTCTTTGAAAACTGCAGTAAAGTAACATGAAGCAAAAATTCCTATAAGAAAATTTTTAGCAGCATGGCAACAATTTGACTCCTTGTCAATTCTTCAGGCAGACCTGACTGGAAGCTCAATGCAGCTTTATGGGCCAAGCCCGTTTGGGACTGTGTCCCTTTCCATTTTTGTGGACCTAAATGTGACGGATCAGAGGTAGCCTGATGTATATGGACAGTGGAGTATCCATAGAGCTAGGTTCTCTGGACACAAACAGAATGGGCACAGATGTAAAAAAATTTACATCCATCCTGTTTACCTCCAAACACCTCAGACACTGATTCATGTGACTGAGCCTTTAGGCCTTGTAAATAAGGTGGCTGCCAATACAGGTCAAGTAATTCATTACCAACATACATAGACTTACAGAAAGATAACATTGTGTCTACACTTATACAGTATACAGAGTTATGCAGGTGGGGTTTGGGATTTATACAGTTATCTTGACAGGGGACATGTGCTAAAACTGTGATAGTATTGGAGTACTTTCTGTCCAGATTGCTGTACAAAATTTGTATTTTTATGTGACACTAAAGGTTCGTTTTTTTTTTTTATCGTAAAATAACAAACATGTCTAAACCTACCTGCTCTGCGCAGCCCCCGATCCTCATCTTTTCGTTTCCCTGCTACCGCTCCTGGCTCCTCCCCCTTGAGCAGTGCCCCCAGGGTAAGCTGCTTGCTCTGGAGGCAACGCTGCGTGCTCGTCCCCGAGCCGATGCTCTATGCATCCATAAGACACATAGAGTTGCTGCCAAGGCCATCTTTAATATTGATCGAACATTGGGCAAATATTTTTTGCCACCCCCCCTAGCCACCCCCCCCAGCCCCCCGCTAACCCATTGGTTCTTAGAGGTTACTGCACATCATTACCACTCACTGATTGCTTGCTAGAGGTTACTGCACATCATTACTGCGAACCTATTGGTTGCTAGAGGTTACTGCACATTGTTACAGCTCACTGATTGGTTGCGAGAGGTTACAGCACACAATCTCCTCCCTTCCTCCACACCACAGACTGTGGAGGGGACAAGACCCACCAATAGACAGAAAATTCTATAACCTGTTATTAGCAATGAGCATAGCAGAGAACACACAACTATGAAGGTTGAATGAGTCCAGGTAGGAACAGAGCCCAATGTGAGCAGCATCTCCGAGGATGGGCTGCCAGGGTACATAAAGAGTGCAGGGTTTAAGGGGGCACTACATACAAACTGCATGGTTGAGGGGTGCACTTTGTATGAAGTGCAGGGTTGAGGGGTGTGCTGTGTACAGAGTTCAAGGTTGTGGTGTGTATGGAGTTCAAGGTTGTGGTGTGTATGGAGTTCAAGGTTGCGGTGTGTATGGAGTTCAAGGTTGCGGTGTGTATGGAGTTGCTGTGCAGGGTTGTGGGGTGTGTATGCAGTGCAGGATTGAGGGCGCTATATATGAAGTGCAGGGCTAAGTGCTATGTATGCTGTTGCAGGGTTGGAGTGCAGAGGGGTGCGCTGTGTATGGATGTACAAAGTGTAGGATTGAGGGGTGCGCTATATATGAAGTGCAGGGCTAAGGGGATTGATGCGCTATGTATGAAGTGCGGAGTGCAGGGTTGAGGGAGGGTGCTCTGTGTATGGAGTGCAGGGTTGAGGGGTGCGCTGTGTATGAGTTCAAGGTTACACTGTGTATGCAGTGCAGGATTGAGGGGTGTGCTTTCTTTGCAGTGCAGGGTTGAGGGGTGTGCTATGTATGAAGTGCAGGATTGAGAGGTGCGTTATGTATGAAGTGCAGGATTGAGGGGTGCGGTATGTATGAAGTGCAGGGTTGAAGGGTGCGCTGTGTATGGAGTGCAGGGCTGAGGGGTGCTCTGTGTATGGAGAGCAGGGTTGAGGGGTGCGCTGTGTACATAGTTCAGGGTTACACTATGTAACAGACACCCACGACTGGATATCTCCATCAAGAAGCTGCTTCTCAGGCCCTGGAACACGAGACCAGTGACTCTGGCTATTGTTACCCCAAGATCCAGACGACACCAGATTTGAAGTAAGCCAGAGGTAGACTAGTTTATTTTTAACACAGATACAAGATATATACACTCAAGGGACAGTCCCCCTCAATGCATAATGACACAGGGTTGGGCAATCTACATTTAGTAACAAGAGACACACAGGTATTCAAACTTCACACCAGCAGACAGTCCCATCAGGAGGGAGGACTGCTGGAGACACCCCCCTCCCCAATAAGCTAATACACATAAATACATACATCCCATAATAGTTTGCTCCCAAGCAAGACGAACAATAGAACAATGGGATGAAGCCACACAACACCAAACAATCCACAAACCCCACTCCACCTATCTCCTAGACATGTCTACACAATATTAGGACAGATCACCCTGTACCCCTAACAAGCACAGGGTGACTTACACATAATAGGGATATGGGGAGCTCAGACAGGGGTCTCCCCACCTCTCCAAAGTAAGCTGGGTTCCATGGGCCCCCATCCAAAGTGACTCCCGTCACACACTGTGTGTGGAGTGCAGGATTGAGGGGTACGCTGTGTATGGAGTGCAGGATTGAGGGGTGCCTTGTGTACGGAGTGCAGAGTTGAGGGGTGCGCTGTATACAGAGTGCAGGGTTGAGGGGTGCCCTTGTACAAAGTTCGGGTTACACTGTGTATGGAGTGCAGGGTTGAGGGGTGTGCTGTGTACAGAGTGCACAATTGAGGGGTGCGCTGTGTACGAAGTGTGGGGTGTGCTGTGTACATCCAAGATTTAATTTTAGAGCTCACCCATCAAAAACACACACACACACACAGACATACACACACATATACACACACGCACATATATATACAGTAGGGCAAAAAAGTATTTAGTCAGCCACCAATTGTGCAAGTTCTCCCACTTAAAAAGATGAGAGAGGCCTGTAATTGGCATCATAGGTAGACCTCAACTATTAGAGACAAAATGAGAAAAAAAAAT